TATTGAGACCAAGACTATATTATGTCTGATAAGTTCTTTCAATTTCAAGAACACTGCTATAAATCAGAATTATGTCAGTGACTTTTATGAATATTTTTAATAATTCTTGATAATAATTCTACACCTTGGAATTCTGAACTCAGATATATTCATCTTTATCCTGTTTTATTTGCAAATGGTATTGTTTATATCTACAAGAGTAAATATATAAATGATGGAGAACTAACAGATAAGAAAGATAAGGGTATAAAATGCAAACAGAAATATGATTAATATATAACATGGCTTACTATTTAAGTCTTCCACACTTGATAAAAATTTGGCTTTAAGTTCTTTTTGTTTCAGACATAAATATTTAAACTCAATAGTATACAGATCGTAAGTTTACAACTCAACAGATTTTCATGGCCTACAATTATGATACTCAGTTATGATAAAGAAGGGAATCTGAATAGTTACACAGTTAAAAATATCATCCTTAACAAAAAACTGTGGTGAGCACAGTGGTGCACATCTGTAATTGCAGTTATTCAGGAGGCTAGGCAGGAGTATGCCAAGTTCAAGGCCGGACTTGGTAACTTAACAAGATCCTACCTGAAAATTTATTATTGTTGTTGTTTTTGAGACAGGGTCTCACTACATAGTTCTGGCTGGCCTTAAACTCACTGGGTAGCCTAGGATGACCTCAAACTGCATCCTGCCTTAGCCTCCCAAGTTCTGGGATTACAGGCATATGCCACCATGCTTGGTCTCTATCTGAAAATTTTAAAACACTTTTTTAAAGGGCAGAGAAGTATGGCTCAGTAGTAGAGCACTTGCGTAGCACTCAAGGAACCCTCAGTTGGATCCCCAGTTCCACAAAAACAAAAATAAAACTAGCATAATTGTCTCATACTTAGATTTCTGGCATCATACAGCTTGGGTTTCATTCCAGGTCTAACACCACTGTTAACTTCTATTACTTTAAGCAAGTTATTTGAATAATTCTTGCCTATAAAGATCTTCAATGTTAAATGGATCAATTTAAATAAATCATTTATCACTGTACTTAGAATGTGACATAGGCTCAGAAAAGATTAGTTAGCATTTCTCTTTTTTAAAAAACCTTCATTACAAGCATAATTATATTACTCATTTTTGTCTATAATGCTAAGGATTAAACACAAAGTCTTGTACGTGCTAAACATGTGCTCAGCCACAGAACTACATCCAGCACCACATTTTTTTTTTTTTTTTTTTTCTTATCGGTACCGGGGATCGAACTCACGACTACCTGCATGCAAGGTAGGCGCTTATGCTGCTGAGCTAAACCTCCAGCCCCTACATTATTTTTTTAAAAGTGTTTAAAATTTGATTTTATATGGTCACAACTATTTGGAAGCAAACCATAGAAACAGGTTTTTCCTAGGGTACTCAAATATACTGATGTTGAAGAACAGCATATCACAACTCAATAATAATTCTGTAGGAAACATTAAGAATTCATTATTCAGCTGAGTTCTGCTTAAGGAGCTATGTAAAGTGAATCAAACAATTCTGATGGACACGAAATAAGGGATAAACTGACTGGAAATAAGAATTTATCAGAAGGAAACATTAGATGCATATTAGGAAAACCTTCCTGACATAAACAGATTATTCTCATATTCTTGGATTTCAGCAGACAGATCAAGGTAAGCACTTTCCTGAGATACCTGTTTGACTGCTCTTGTTGGTAAGTTTTTTGAGATCTGATGAATAGAAAGCAAATGAAACCATGTTCCAGCTCATCTTTAGTGTAACAAGGAAAAACTGTCCCCATAAAACAGAGTGAGTACTTTCATACTATAGGTGGAAACAATGTTTATATACAATTGCAACTAGGAAAATCCTAACCTGAGCATATCATGGTTAACTGTAATGCATTTAAGACCAACATAACTCTTTTTTGTGGCGAAGGGGATAGTTTGAGACAGGGTCTTGCTCTGTAGTTTACACTGGCCTTATATTCACTTATAACCCAGAGTGGCCTCGGACTTGCAGTGCTCTTCCTGCCACAGCCTCCTGAGTACCGGGATTACAGGTATGATGGCACACACCTGGCTCCAACAGAACTCTTAACAAAAGAATCTCACTTCTGTTTGGCCAATTGATGCAACAGTCATTTTTTAAATTTCTGATTATAAATTGAAATGTTTATTGTTCTATTTCTAGACTGAATAAGTTACTAGTTTCTAAAATTGACCAGTGATAATATAGTTTTGCTGCTTTAAATTACTGATAGTCTGTATTTTCTAGATTTTTCTTTTTTATATTTCATACTTTTTTCTTTGATACTATGTTTGCTTTTCTACATTCTTTTTCAGTGCACTTTTAAATATTCTCCAGACATTTAGAATGTCATGTAGGGAAAAGCTTTGACTCTGTGTTTATTGTTAAATATACCTATACCATACTGTTTCCCCTCTCATTGACGTTCAGCTGAATTCCCTAGTTTAGAATCCTGACACATTTTTTTTTTACTCTGTATCCAGTCAGTTACCAGACTTATAAATAGCTTTTTAAATTTTTTCTTGTTTCTTAGTCCCATTTATTCCTTCCTTCATCCCTGTGGCCTCAGACCTATAACTCAGGGGTTGTGCTAGTCTTCTTAACAGTTCTTCTTTCTTACCACTGTCAAGCTAATCCCATAGGTTCAGCAAATGCAACCTGGGACTTCCACGTTTTGTGCAGGTCAGGTGATGGCAAAACTTACCAGTTTGTATAGAAGAGGGTTTGGTCAATAGTGGGGCATCAGTGTAGCTGTATTAAGTAGAATTTGAAGTAAAAAGAAAGAACGTTTCCTGAGAAGATGCAGATTCCTAGTGTTAGCCCCAATAAACAGGACAGAGATATTCAATATTCTGTTTTCATTTGCTCTAATGCTATGAAACTTAGAGTTTGGAGAGAAGGAGATATTTAGTGTTTTGAGTATTATAATAGTGATACTATGCTACATGTGGGCCCTAAGAACTCTTATACTCTAGGGGATCAGAGATTGGCCTGTCAAGAGGAAATGAAGGTGTTGATATTGGCTTATAAGGTAGTATTCTAGCCTAAGGAAACAAGCTTGATAAGCCCCTGGATTCAATAGAATGACATTATATGATAGGCATTGAAGAGTAAACAAAGCCAGGATTCTCTCACTGAGGGCTGATCTTATAGGAGCCTCTGTAAGGCAGTGTTTCAGAAGTTAAGATTTAAAAATTGAGCTTCAGCTTCAAGGGGAAGTTGGTTGTCTCATCTGACTCAGAACTAATGGATGAATACACAAAATTCAACATGAATGCACTGAGATTGTTGAAATATTTTCAAAGGAGGAGCTAACTAACATACCTACTCCTCTCATGGAAGATTGGTATGTAAGAAGAGAAATTTAAGCCAGACATGGTGGTATACACCTATAATCATAGAACTTGGGAGGCTGAGGCAGGAGGGTTTGAAAACTAAAGAAAGATGGCAAGCCTGAACTACATAGTAAGACCCTGTCACAAAATAACCAAACCAAAACAAAAAAATAGAATGCCAATTTGTTATCTGAATAATGGAATTACCAGTTTGGCATAGCTAATTCATCTTTCACCTTTAAAATGGAATGTATGCGAAGCCACGTCTGGAGAAAATCCAGAGCCTGTGGAATCTGAACATGAAATCTTTGCCCGCCGTCAAAGATCACGTGCTACATAAAGAGGAGTTTTGCTTGTTTAATGGTTCAAGATTGAGCCCAGCAACTTAAGCATGACAGATAAATGCTTTACCACTGAACTCCCAGCTCTATGTACAGTTTTGGCAAAAGTTGAATGGGTTGTGCCAATATTTACCTTAATTATTCCTAGGGCTTAATTATAAGTTTATACACAAAAGGTTAATCTTCATCCAAGTCTGTAACATGTAAGTACACCTGTTTTTGAAAGAAAATACAATGGAGTGAGTTAGGTTATTTGGAACAGAAGCTAGAAGCCAAGGAAAACATTTATGAATCAGTTGTAATAATGATGGATAAATAGGGATAAAGAGGAAAGAACAGAATCTAGTAGGGATTGATTTCATCTACCTTACTTCTACTCAAAATGCCACTATGTGGCTCATCTGGTTTTCAGTATCAAGTTTTGTTTTTTGGTATGTGTACTATTGAGGATTGAACCCATGACTTTTACACTAACTGTGTCCCTAGTCTTTCTTTTATTTTGAAATGGGGACTTATCAAGTCATTAAATTGCACAAGCTAAGCTCAGACTTCTAATCCTCTTGCTATTCTCCATAGTGTTGGGAATATTGGGGTGCAACGCCATAGGTGAATTCTTTATTTCCTATATCAAGAGGTCTTTCTTAAAGGAGAATTTAGATTTGTCTATAATGTACAGGATAAAGAACTATATCTTTAACACTAACTTTGTCCCTTTTGGTGTGTGGCTTTTATTTTATTCCATAAAAGACATATGTAAATATATTTCATTTTATTCCTTAAAGACATATGTAAATATATTCACATCAGTTTAAACAGGTAACAGTTTCTCCAGGAATGAACATTGCAAGCAGTGTTGATGCAATTTTTTAAAGTACAAAGAAAAAGAAAACAGTGTTTTGTGAAGCAGCAGGTTCAGTTTCATGGAGAAGAAAATAATTGCTTCATCTTTGCTTATATTGTGATTTTTTAATTTGTTTTTGAAACTGCATAGAATTCTCATGTGGGTGGCTAACTTAAACACTGTTCTTATATTCTGTATCTTAACAGTTGAGTGAATGAGCAGCTATTTACACTTAACACATGTCCATTCTTTAGGTGCATTTGATACTTGATGTTGGTAAGAAGTAATTTTTAACAGCCTTGAAAGCTGTGGTGGTAACTTCTTCTTTCAAGGACAGTTTCATTCAGATACATATAAAACAGATATGACGACGAGTTTGATTTTGGAAGGTAAATCCAGATTTAATTGTTCAAATTTCCTTAAATTCAACCTTTTTACATTTCTGTTCTTTAGGTCTGCCAAAATGTCTGAAAGATCAGATCTCCTTCACTTCAAGTTTGAAAATTATGGAGATTCAATGTTACAAAAAATGAACAAATTAAGAGAAGAGAATAAATTTTGTGATGTTACAGTTCTCATAGATGATATTGAGGTACAGGGACATAAAATTGTATTTGCTGCAGGTTCCCCCTTCTTAAGAGACCAGTTTTTACTGAATGATTCCAGAGAGGTGAAAATCTCCATATTACAGAGTTCTGAAGTGGGGAGACAATTGCTCTTATCCTGTTATAGTGGTGTGCTGGAATTCCCTGAGATGGAACTGGTAAATTACTTGACTGCTGCGAGTTTTCTTCAGATGAGCCACATTGTAGAACGATGCACACAGGCCCTGTGGAAGTTTATAAAGCCAAAACAGCCAATGGATAGTAAAGAGGGATGTGAACCACAGAGTGCTTCTCCCCAGTCAAAAGAACAGCAGGGAGATGCCAGAGGCTCTCCAAAACAGGACTCACCTTGTATTCATCCATCTGAAGACAGTATGGATATGGAGGACAGTGATATTCAGATTGTTAAGGTAGAATCTATTGGGGATGTATCAGAGGTTAGAAGTAAAAAAGATCAGAACCAGTTTATTTCTTCTGAACCCACTGCTTTACATTCATCAGAGCCCCAGCACTCCCTGATAAATTCAACTGTGGAAAACAGAGTAAGTGAAATAGAACAAACCCACCTCCACAATTATGCTCTCTCTTATCCAGGCAGTGATAACATCATCATGACCTCAAAAGATGTCTTTGGGCCTAATATTCGAGGTGTAGACAAAGGCCTACAGTGGCATCATCAGTGCCCAAAATGTACCAGGGTGTTCCGTCACCTGGAGAACTACGCCAACCACTTAAAAATGCACAAACTCTTTATGTGTCTACTCTGCGGCAAGACTTTTACTCAGAAAGGCAACCTTCATCGACATATGCGTGTGCATGCCGGAATTAAACCTTTCCAGTGTAAAATCTGTGGGAAAACCTTTTCTCAGAAATGTTCCTTACAGGATCATCTTAACCTTCACAGTGGAGATAAGCCCCATAAGTGTAACTATTGTGACATGGTGTTTGCACATAAGCCAGTTTTGAGGAAACACCTTAAACAACTGCATGGCAAAAACAGCTTTGATAATGCCAATGAGAGAAATGTGCAAGACCTCACAGTGGATTATGATTCTTTTGCATGTACAACAGTCACAGACTCTAAAGGGTGTCAGCCACAGCCTGATGGAACACAGGTCCTGGATGCAGGTAAACTGGCCCAAGCTGTCCTCAACTTGAGGAGTGATAGTACTTGTGTGAATTGAGTGGAGGCTTAATCACAAGTAGAAGTGACTGACAGTGTGGCAATAGTCTGAATCTTTTAGGAGCGATTTTACTAGTTTTACTTCACCAAAACCTCCAATGTGGGTGGTAGGAGGTAAGTTAAAGCCCTGATAGATCAGGCAACTTACCACTTGAAGTGGTTTTGACTTCCTTTTGCCCTCTCCCATAAATAACTCTGTTTTGAGTTATTTAGTGTGTGATGTCTATTTTCTTTCCCAAGGAATAATTCCATTTGTCTACCTAATGTTGACTTACGTCTTAGACTGACACTGTTTTAGGCTTTCACCAGGGACATTTTAAAAGTACTAAAGGTTATTAACATTACCTACGCTCCATTAGTAGATGCTATTCTAAAAGAAGTGAGTAATAATTTTCTTTGGCAAAAAGTAGGCTAAGATAAAAGATGATACTGCTGTTGACCTAAATATGTGATAAAACCCTCCAGTTGCCTATTGATAATTCATCCATGTTTGATGAATGAATCTGCTTCCTATCCTTTGTACTTGTCTTAGAGCTGGCTCTAAAGAAATATGTTGGTTTATTCTGTATCCTATTCAATACTATTGTAGCCCAACTTCATCTCCCTGAATTGTTCATGTAGACTAGAATACAGTCTTCTAAGAAACATCCACAAAGAGAGATCATGAGAGGCATAATTAATGAAGGACAGAAGAACAATTATAAAATACCACTGAAGTGAGATTTTCATGTATCACATCCAAGTAAGAGGCCGGATGCTTAATGTGACACTTGATGCTTTCAAAATTAGGATTACTTCTGGCATACTTTTTAATGCTAAACAATAATGATCTCTAGAAAAGTGCTCTCTGAGAATTTCTGAACTTTGTATCAGAAAGGTGAGTTTTGCCATCAGAATTTTGTCCATTATAAGTGTACCTATCATAGTTTCTAAAACAGATGAAAAAAGTTAAATGGGACACGTAACAGCAACTGGATGTTTTTTTAGTCAGATATTTTCCTAAAGAGTAAACTGGCCCACTTTGCCACCTTAGGCAGACTGATATTAATACAGAGTTGCCCTTCCAGTATGGAAAAACAAGACTTATTTTTCTGTAAGCACATTTCAGACATAAAATTTTGAGTAATACTTGGTTCCAACCCATGAGTTAGACTTAGGCAGTAGCCGAGAATCTTGAGAGACCATTTGCTCCTCCTCTTCCTTAATTTAAGTTGGGACATTCAAAGCCCAAAGAAGTGGCCTGGCCAGCGTTGGCTAGAGGAGATAAGTGGCTAAATATAAACTAGTATCTCTTAATTTCTTCCCACTACACTTTGGCTTAAAAATCTACATGTTGAAGAATCAGTGCATTAACATAAACATCTCCAGTTTTGTGTTTCACTTTTGTGTTTCCCTGCTGGCTTTCTGAGATAACCTGGATCTTACTAGCAAAACATCATGAAGGAACTTATTTATTATTCTTTTAAATTTATTTTGTTTTTACTGAACCCAGGGCCTCATTATGCTAGACATATATTCTACTGCCTTATCCCCAACCCCTATTGGTTATTTTTTAGATGAGTACTATATTCTTCTATAGCAAGTAGTTCATTTTTTGACTACTAGGGAGAGAAAAGGCAAGTAAGAATAATGTGAAAAGGATCCAAATGTGAAGCGCATTTTGTCTGGAAAACTGTTTTTTTTTTTTCCGGTACTGGGAATTGAACTCAGGACCTTGCTTGCCAGGGCAGGCGCTGTGCCACTGAGCTACATCCTTCACCCAACCTTTTTATTTCTATCAAGATTTTTGCTTTTCTTTTTGAGCTAGAAGAGTACATATACTTTGGCTTAAAAATCTACATGTTGAAGAACAATGCATTAACATAAACATCTCTAGTTTTGAAAGAACCCAAAAGTTAGACGTTATTTATGCCATCAGAGGAAATTATAATTGATATTGTTTTCAAGTGAGTGTGATTCAAAGTATAATTTCTATTCCATTCAAATGTTGAATATAAGAATAGATTTTAGTGATAAGACCCTAGGTACCTTAGCCCGATATCAATCATTATATTGTCAAATGTTGCTTCCTAGCGTTGTTATTTATATATGATCCAGCCAGAGTACCAATTCTAGGCTACACTACTAAGCCTGCTAAGCTAGCCAGTATTTTTTATGTTTTCTCTGAACATCATTTCTTTGCAGAAAAATTTCAGTTCTTTCTTTGTTCATATTCATGTTACTCATTTGAAGACTAAAGTACATGGGTTTGAATAAAATTGGTCTCTTTGGTTGGAAATTATTTCTAGGTTCATTTCGACCATTCAAGATATGGGTTGTTTTGTTTTGTTTTATTTTTTGAGACAGGGTCTCACTGTGTAGTTCAGGTTGGCCTTGAACTCATCATGTAGCCCAGGCTGGGCTCAAACTCATGGCAATCTTGCCTCAGCCTCCCTAAGTCCTGGGATTACAGGTGTGTACCACCACACCTGCCTGAAATTTTTTAAAATACTGTAAATTGAACGTAGGGCTTGTGCATGCTAAATATGTTCTGTACCATTGAACTCAAGAAACATTTACTAAGCACTGTGTTGCTGGGCATTGTGCTAAATACTGAAGATATGAAGGTAAGATTGATACAAACCCCTGCCCTCAGAGCTTACAGTTTCATATGATCTTTAATAGAATTAAGTCTCAGTTAGGTTTTATACTAAGAGTAATAAATCTTCCTTTATTTGATCACTTATAGTCAGGATTTTTTTTTTTTTTTTTTTTTTTTTTGGAGGGGGTGAGACAGAGTCTCACAGTATAGCTCAGGCTGGCCTTGAACTCTCAGTGTTCCTCCTGCCTCTGCCTCCTGCATGCTGGGATTACAGGCGTGCATCACCATGTCCAGCCTTAAATTTTCTATTAGTAAAACTTACAGTTCTCATTTTTCACAAGTACAAACCACTAATTTGGAGGCACCTCCATTTCTTGGTTGGTGAAGTGTTCTTGAGATATTTTCTCTTTTGGTGGGACTTGCCTTTTCTGTTTCACTTGTATGTGTCTTTTTAGATTGTACTGCAAAGAGGTCAGATTACTGATATCAAGTACATTTTATAAGGGAACATGATTTTCAGACCTAGGAGGAAGTGTTTTAAAATGTTATTCATCCTTTGTATTTTATGGATCCTGGATAATTGAAACTATGCTTTTTAAGCATAGTTTGAATTTTAAAAACTTACTTTGTCACAGTTGTTATTTAACTCTGCAAACTGAAATGGCTCTGAGGTAAATCAGATATGGTTTTAATTTGTTTTAGTTTGTTTACTGGAAGATCTATAAATGGACACTGGTCACTGCTTCTAAAATATTAAAAACAACTCAAAATGTTTTATTTCAGCTCATGAATAGCTGTTCTAAATCTGTTGTATGTTAGACATACTGTGAACTACCTCTTCACTTATTATGGGGAAGTTTCCTTAATAAAAGTGTGACAATTAAAACTCTGGTGTCAGTAGTTTACTTTCTTACCTTCCCTCTTCTTTTTCAGTTGCTTGAATTTGAATCCAGGAGTGCTTCTATTCTTTAAAATACATTTCAATTAAGCTTACCGACTTTGCTATCAGAAGGAAGCATGGACTATCAAGAAATTACTTATTCCTAGAGTCAGTTATTCCCATGAGAATCTGATTGAGGAAGCAAAAGCAACAGTTTGTAAGAACTTCATTACACAAATATTTCATGCCCACTAGACTTCTGGAACAGAGACAGTAAACTATTGCCCCTAAATCCCTTGGCCTCAGTGGGACACAATTTCAATGTAGGTTTTATGAGTAAAATATTGAAAGCAAACAAAGCAATAACAGGTTTCAACTGGAAATCAGTTAGTTTAAGGATACATCAGGATGGCTTGAGGAATGATGGGATTTATGAATAGGTTTGAACAAGTGAGGGGGAGTGCTTTCCATGTGCAAGGCCTTGGGTCCAATCCCAGCATTAAAGAAGGGGCGGGGAGGGGACAAAACCATTTTGTTGGGGGATATGGCTCAGAACTTGTTAGGTCTACGTGGCGCTCTGTGTTTGACATAGGAACCATGGGCTATTAAGATCACCAATCGAAAGTTTGCAGCCCTGTTGTAGTTTCTCTTGCCATTTTTCAAGTGGTAGTTGGTCCCAATAAAAACCTGCCCCATAATAACCTGTAAGAACCCTCCAGTAGTTCGGACTTTGGAACCTAATGTATGCTCCGTCCGCAACTTCACAATCCGTTTCCGACCTGGGTGTTGGGAAAAGGAGTGGCTTGCGCGCTGAAACTGGGACCTAATAGATGGGACTTGCCATATTCGGATGCCTGTCTGTTATTCCAGGAACGCAAGAAATGAGAAAGAAACAGCGTCCCTGGATGTCCTTCCGGGGCGCTCAGGCGGCTTCGCTACAAAATAAAACTGGTTGACACCGGATGTGTTTCCTCCAGACTAAGTCCATCTTCCGGCCTGGGCCCGCAGCTGCGGAAGCCTCAATCCCAAATTTGTGAGTCGGTAAGTGAACCTAACGGAGGGTCGTCAAGTAGCCAAGCCTAGAGAAGAAAAGGAGGTGGCGGTCAGCTGGGCGCTGCCTCTCAGTGGCTCCCCGGATGCTGCAACCCCTTGTCTGACACCGCTGTGGGTTGGGAAGAACAGTGTGCCGAACTGGAGAGATTTTCCAGGCCACCTGGGATCCGGTTTTAGTTCCACACATGTTCCCAGCGCTCCTCTTGCTAAGGCGTGGGCCCATGTGTGAAGTGGAGAAACACTGAAGAATCAGCCACCTTCTTCAGAGCCCTGCGAGCTACTGACTGTGGGGGGAGGACTCACGTTTGTCTTAACTTGGTTTGGGCTTAAACAGTCAAATCAGCTTCTGAGAAAAAGCTGGAACCCAAATGTAATAGCACTGTAAAGGTATTATACAGGTGTTTTATTAGGATAGGTTTGAAAAGCTTGATATCTAAGCTTGGAATATGAAAAATGGAATAGAAGGAGATAAAGCTATAAAGACAGGTTCAAGCCAAATTGTGAAAGAAGTTACATTCTTGTGAAGAATAATGAAAAGGCTGTCTGGGAGGTGGAGGTGAGCCACTGAAGATATGAAGCAGAAGAGAGGGGAAAAAGAAACGGAAAAATATTAGTTCTCTTGAAATTCAGAAAAATAGTTGGGAATACAGGAAGAGTGTTAGGTCAACGAGACCTGTTTAAAACATTGCAGTGGTCCATTTGAAGAGGACTGAGGACTTGTAACCGTGGTGGGCAGTAGGACTTTAGTACACTACATTAAGATCTCTAATTTGGGCTACTATGTTAATTACTTTGGTTATCACTCTGCTGATCGTTGAATATTCGGATTTATGTGTTCTTGACTAGAAGGCACATAAAATTTAGCCAAGGAAGCAAGCACAGAAACCATTACCTACAATTAAACATAGTAGATGCAGTAACAGAAATATGAAAAATGTATATGAGTTTCCAGAGAAATGCATCATGATTTTCTGAGTTTTGACATGGTAGTTTAGGGCTTCACTCTTATTATTCAGAGGACAATTTAGGCCTTTTTTTTTTTTCCCAATTCAGGTTAGGGATGAGAGGACTGTCACAACATGGGATAACATTCTCTATCCTTACAGCAATGTTTGTGTTTTATTTCGCTTAGATTGTGACAATGGCTGCTGAATCTGAAGTTCTGCACTTCCAGTTTGAACAGCAAGGAGATGTGGTCTTGCAGAAAATGAATCTCTTGAGACAGCAGAATTTATTTTGTGATGTATCAATTTATATTAATGACACTGAGTTCCAGGGGCACAAAGTGATTTTGGCTGCTTGTTCTACTTTCATGAGAGATCAGTTTTTACTCACACAATCAAAACATGTCAGAATCACCATCCTGCAAAGTGCGGAAGTTGGAAGAAAATTGTTACTCTCTTGCTATACTGGCGCACTAGAAGTTAAAAGAAAAGAACTTTTGAAATATTTGACTGCTGCCAGTTACCTTCAGATGGTTCACATTGTGGAAAAGTGCACAGAAGCTTTGTCAAAGTATCTGGAAATTGATCTTGCCATGAAAAATAACCAACACACTGACCTGTGTCAGTCTTCTGATCTGTATCATAAAAGTGAAGAAGAAAATTCTGAAAGAGACTGTGAGATAATTGAAATTTCAGAAGATAGCCCAGTAAACATAGATTTCCATGTTAAAGAAGAAGAAAACAATGCATTACAGTCTACAGTACAGAGCTTGACATCAGAAAGAAAGGAAATGAAGTCACCAGAGCTGTCTACAGTAGATATAGGTTTTAAAGACAATGAAATTTGTATCCTCCATGTAGAATCTATCAGTACAGCTGGTGTAGAAAATGAGCAGTTTTCACAGCCTTGTACCTCATCTAAAGCAAGCATGTATCTCTCTGAAACACAGCATTCACTGATCAATTCTACAGTAGAAAGCAGAGTGGCAGAATTTCCTGGAAATCAAGGCCAGGGCTTATTTTGTGAGAATATTAATGGAAGTCATGGCACAGTGAATGAGATTCAGAATGTGGAAGAGAATCATACACTGAGGCACCAGTGCCCTAGGTGTCCTCGAGGGTTTCTTCATGTTGAAAATTATCTTCGCCACCTTAAGATGCATAAATTGTTCTTGTGCTTACAGTGTGGAAAAACATTCACACAAAAGAAAAATCTTAACCGGCATATTCGAGGGCATATGGGCATACGACCTTTTCAGTGTACTGTGTGCTTAAAGACCTTTACTGCCAAAAGCACACTTCAAGACCACTTGAACATACATAGTGGGGATCGGCCATACAAGTGCCATTGTTGTGATATGGATTTCAAGCACAAATCTGCCCTCAAAAAACACTTAACTTCTGTTCATGGCAGAAGTAGTGGTGAAAAACTCTCTAGGCCTGATCTGAAAAGGCAAAATCTATTATAATTGGAATTGTGGACTTGCTCTGTAAATCTTGTGTCACTCTGTTGGGCAAGTCTTTGTGTAGAAATGCAGCATTTGTAATACTGTACCCTCTCTCCTAATTGATAGGTTTTATTTTCAGTCTGCCTGTGCATACTATTTTTTTCTGAACTAAAGTCATGGGAGACTTGATAAAACTGATGGTATGCTTTCTATACTGTATCAATCTCAAAGAAATATATGCCTGGAGAAAGTGTTCTTTTAAATATTCTCAATTGTAATTCAGAACAGTATTTGCAGATTCTGATGTATATTCTCTAGGTAATTGTTTTAAACATTAAGTCCAAACATATAATAACTTTAATGAATTAGGGTAACAAAAAATAAATTTAAAAATACTATTATCAATCACTGGTCACTTTAAGAACAAATAGGATTAGCAAATTTTTTTTTCTTTCAACTTTTAGCCAGTGTTCTTAGGTCTAAACTAAGGTGCTTACAGTTTAGAACTAAGGTACCTGTAATCTTAAACTATAAAGAAACAATTGAAATTCACTTGGTGATAGCCAAAATACTTGCATTGCTATTTTTTATCACTACATATACTTCAGAATACATAGGTCCATGTTTCTTGATTATATTTAATACAAATGGAATTAATAATTTTGTGGCCAGTAAAATATCATTGGCATAAAGCTGTGAAAAATTACTTTTCTAGAAATTCCAGTTTTATCAAAGATACTTGTTTCACTGTGTCTTTCCTAAAGTTCCTCTTTATGTTTTGTTAACATTTGTTGACCTTTTAGGTATATATGTCTATGACTCTTAACACATACACATATTTGTGCACTACCACTGCAGCTGAGATGCAGAACAGTTCCACCACCCCTAAAAACTGCCTCATGCTGTTCCTTGTTACTTCCTCCTAGTTACAAATCGATCTTCATTGCTATAATTTTGCCTTTTCTGGAATGTTATCTAAATGAAATCTTATTTTCACCCAACCAAACACCTTTGAAATCATTCATGTGTTTATCAATTGGTCATTCTTTTTATTTTCACTTGTCTATATATATATTCTGTCACCGATGAATGGTTTAAATGTGGTTAGCTACTAATATTATTAGTTATAATTCTTAATTCACATTAACATTTTACATTCACTATGTTAAGAAAAAATTCTTACCCATCCCTAGAATTATATTTCTGTAAAGTGCCAAAAGAAAAGCTGTAATTCTGATTATTTTAGAGATTAATATTTCAAACTGTGTTCTGAGCCCTAGCTTCTTGATATCCTTGTCTACATATAATACAGATATTTTTGTTGTTGTAACAAAGATCAAAGTATATTCCAGGGCAAATCTCTTCTGAAACACAGGTAATACTTTGAGTAAAGAAGTCTGACTGGATGTATCTTACTTTAAAAGTTAACACTTTATTCCTTCTGTACTTACCTCACCTTTATGTAGAAATTCTACTGTATTTAACTTTTACTGGTTCCCTTCTGTATTTTAAAACATAACATACTTTTTATCATTTCTAAGAATTTCATGACGAATTCCATGTTGTTATAAACATTAAATATAGTTTTTGTGATACTTTTATGGAAAAGATATCCTCTATTGAATTTTAAATCTGGAAGAGACTTTTTTAAAATTCAAATCTCTTATTTGATGAGAAAACTGACTTCATAACTCTAGGTCACTAATTCCTGATAATGGGCAGGTTCTTGAACTTTAATTTACAGGTATAATAACAATCCTTTTTAAGCTCTTTTTCCAGGACTAAAAATACTAAAATTTTACATTTAATTTTTCCAGTGCAAAAAAAGGGAGAGGGAGCAAAAGAGAAGAATGTGTCTTTATGGATGTTACTATTTGAGCACTCCATCAGAGATAAAAATTTTTCTAAATACTGTTCTTTAATTTGATAACAGTTTAAAGCTTAATTTTCTTTGCCACTTGTAGTTGTGGCCATTTATAGTTGTGAAAACATTTCCTTTTCAGAAATCATTTACTTGTGATTAAGGTACTTTTCTTATTTTTTTCTTCCTAGGATGAAATATGGAGGGAGGGCTAAGGATGGGAGAAGAGAATTTTTTAAAAAACTGACTTTTTTGAGGAATTGGTATCTATCTTGAATGCTTGGTAAAAAATTTTAGTTGAAACAATGTCTAAGTGTACCTTGTCAGATTGTTGTACTAGTTTTTGAACACTGAGATTTTTGTGTATGAGGAAGGTGTTTTGTAAAAGTGGTAAGTGTTATTTATATTATTTATTCTGGTAAGTAGCACAGAGTAATCTCAAAACATTCCTAGGAGAGTATCTGTTTGCATGATGTGTCTAAAATATCTCAGAAAAACAGAATCTTAACATGCAGGTATCGCAAAGTAAGATTTATTCATTTAAAATACTTTTAAAGTTTTTGTTTCAGATATGACAGAAAAGTGTAATATCTTCTGATTTCAGCCCCTTACTACATATACATGTATGAAAGATCTTGAAAAGGTAGTTGTTAAAGAGAAAATCCTTGTCCTTTTTCCTTGGATGTAACTATCTTAAATGTTTACATAAAAAATAAACTGGAGGTAAGAATAGAAAACATTTGTCTTTTGCTTGTATTCGTGAAATTTTTTTTTTTCCTCTTTCTGTTAGAGACAAGGTCTTGTTATGTAGTACAGGCTGGGCTCAAATTCACTGTGTAGCTAGGGTGTCCTCAAATTTTCAGCAATCCTTCTGCCTTAGCCTCCAGAATTCTGGGATCAGAGGCCTGCGCCACTTCATTCGGCTATTCATTTCAGGAATACCTACTGAATCTGTATTAGAAATTAGGTAGACAAAAATCCCAGTCTTCATGAAATTTACATTCTAGTGGAGGGAGACAAACTATATAAACAGATTTAGTGACAAATAATGTAGAGATAGTGTCACAGCAGGTTCGGAGTCTAACTTTAAATGTGATTAGTTCATTTTGAAAAATCTTATATATTTTTGTCTTTTGGAAGGTAAATATATAGTATATGTAATGGGATATAAAGTACACAAATAAAAGTATTTGGAAAACTACATATAAAATCACTCTTCAGTGTCCATCTGATAATACAGAAACAAATCACTGTTTTAGATTGTCACATATTACAAAAAAAAAGCAAATGGCTATTGCATGGGAGAAAAATCTAATGGGGTAAAATTAAATCCTCTTCCAAAAACAGTAATTTTTCCTTATACAGGTAAAAATAACTATCATAAAGCTCATTATATTTTATTTTCCAATTTTAATTTATATGACTTCTTGAACTTTTTGTTGTGCATATGGTTTCGCATTGAAAATTTTGAATTTATGTAGTGCCTATTTCACCTAGTTTCTAATCGATAACAGTGTATTACTGCCTTTTAGAATTATTTCAGAAGTAAATGAGGCACAAGTAAAATACTTTTGAAATACTTAATATAGGGTCTTGCACATCGTAGATCTTAAATGTTAATTCTCTTAATTCCTATTCCCAGCCTTTTGCCTCATTTATGGTAACTAATTTCTAACTTAAACTTTACACCGAAATATTTGCGATATAATGCCAAATTTTTGCAATTAAATATTTATTTGTAGCAGCTGTGGGGGAACCTAGGCTTTTCAATAAAGAGATTAACTAGGTAGATGGGTCTGCCAACAACCCGCTTTCATTTTGGCGTTTTTTGTGTTCTTGTAATCAGGCAATTACTCCGTATCTATGTGGAAGGACTGAGGGATCCGGCCAGCATTTCCTTAGAAGTCAGCGAAGTAAGATTAACATACATTCATCAGATTCTGCGCAGTGGATAAGACGCTTTTCATGGTGAAAGTCTGACGCTGGCTCAAACCGTAGTCTAGCATGCCCGGTTCAAAATGCAGATCAAAGTGCAGTGAGTTTCCCATCAATCCCTTCGACAAGCCTAGCCCACCTCACAACATCTCCCACAGTACTCCGGGACTCTTTCGTCACATGACGGGAGGATTCACTCGAGTGTTTTAGATAGCTAGGGTAACTACGCTTCTTCTCTACTCCCCAACTCCCGGGCATACGTAATCTCGCGTGAAGTAGTATCTTCTCGCGAGAACTAAATCGGGATCCTCCAGGTCCGCCTCCGTGGTGAAGAGGAGGAGGAGAAGAAGGAGGAGACGGAGGGAGGAGGAGGAGGCCCCGTCGCGGCCTTTGCCGCCGCCAACGGGGCTGTCCCTGTAGCTCCCGATGGAGTTTGAGGCAGTGAAACCGCCGCCGAGCTCTGCCGCGGCGAGACGAGGCGCCTCCATCGCCGAGCCGCGCCGTCGCGGGGCTCCCGGGAGCGGCCCTTAGCGACCCCGCCCGGGCCCCCTCAGGTAGGGCGGGGGCGGGCACGATGCGGCTCGGGCCCCAACCCCAGTGCCCGGTCCCTAGCGGTCGGGCGGGAGACCCGTCTCAATTCGGGCGCCTGTGCACTGTCGCCGTCGGTGTCCTGCGGGTTGGGGACGGAGGGCCCCACCTGACACTTGGACGGAACCCTGGGCCTGAAGAGGCCCCTCTCCGGTAGGGTTTTTCCGATGCGGAGCGACCAGCGCAAATGGCCACCTTTCGGCCCTGGCCCAGGGGACGCCTCTGACCACAGAGGAACCCACCCAAGCAAAGGCCACTCTTCCTTCTCTCTTTCCTCCTAGTTACTAAGAGAGGTTTTGGAAGACGTACTCGAAATTGGGTCCTCTCCCAGCTTTTTCTCTTTCTGCTTGGGGCTTCCGGAGACTCTTAACTCAGAAACAGTGAAGGCGATCTGAGTGGTGTAAATAGGGACCCTGGCCAAACAATGCCCTAGGAGGACTTAACCTCCCAGGAGGGAGATTGGCCTGACTAGAGTGGTTACACCGGGTATATATGACTAGAAGCAATGGCATGAAACACAGCGGAGGAATTCTGCTATGCCTTTCTTCTTTCCTTCTTTCTTTCTGTTTTTTACCCCCCTTGGGGAAGCCTCTTGAGGAGACTTCCACCATCTTAGAAGAATGGTAGAAAGCATCTTTGTTTCTGAGAGAAGCAGCTCTACTTTTCTCTGTCCCAGGTTTCAGAAAGGAAGATGAGGGTAGCTGTCATTTCCAGCCATCAAAACAGCAGAGTTTTAAAATACCGGCAGGTAGAACCCTCGCACCAAAATAGTTTTTTATATAAAGATCTAATGCAGTGATTCTCAAATCAGTTTTGTGTTTTCATAAAGCCCACCTGGGTTCAAATTTTAATCCCTGCTGTCCTCTTCTCTAGGTCCCTTCTTTACAGTTTTTATTCACCTCCCCACCCACCGTGATTAGAATAACTTTGTTTCCTGAAATAAAGAAATTTTATTCCCTTTTTTGTGTTAGTCACACTTTTAAGTTCCAATGGGAACTTTTGATTAACATGAGAAAACTAATGTTGCTCCACTATGGCGACATAATTCCACCAAAAGCAAAGAACAAATGTTTCAGTCGGTGCAACCATTTTATGGAAAAATATATACAGACTTAGTAAAGGCTTTTCAGATCATTAAGAGTAGTTCATGGGCTGGGGATTTAGCTCAGCGGCATAAGTGCCTGCCTTGCAAGCAGGCAGTCGTGAGTTCGATCCCTGGTACCGATAAAAAGGAAAAAGACCAAAAAAAAAAAAAAAGAGTAGTTCATAAATACTCCTTTTTAAAAAAACCTCTAACCTGGTTAAAAAACTAAACCACTGTTCTAACCTCACATCCCTAACTCAAGTTGTTTACTTCCACATTCCAATTCTTGAGATAGAGGCCATCACATCCTGTTAAAGACCTATTTTTCCCCTAAATTGCCTTTTTCGTTGATTTGCATGTTCATGTTTTTCAAATTGTAGCGTTTGGAAAATTGCTAGGACAAAACGTTGAACATGTGTTCCAGTCATGTTTAGAAAAAGCAGATAGTATAGGCTTTTATTCTTTGAGGATCTCATTGCAGATATTTTCATTACTGGATCCTTTGAGTTATTCCTATATATTATGATGGTTGTGTTAACCTGACATGTAAGAAGACTTAATGAAGACTTAATGTTCTTTGTTCATGTAGGTTTATTAATTCATTTTCTGCTTTTGTAATTTGCTTCTCTTCCAGTTGGAAAAGCACTTTTCCTTACATTTAGGATTTTGTGTTAAAAAATAGAATTTCTAAATTGTACATGATAACTAAGAATGCTACATAAACTTATGACAAGGTCATAAAAAGTACTTGCTTACCATTTTGGTTGGATTAGTGCCTGAAATTTCACTTCCTCGTGATGGAAGAAGGAAGCACGTGAGATAAAGCTACTGAAAATTAAAAACAAATTGATGTTTTGCACCCAGGCTCATGAATGTTGTCAGCTATATCTTTATGATCAGTTTTCTCATTTTATGAAAGCCCTATGTGTGACTTTTGCCTCAACATCCTTAATAAAAGTTTTGAGTGTTACTTTATAATCTTGAGTAATCTGTAGTTGTACTGTTCATTACTAGTCAGTATTAGTAGTAGTGTGGAAGTTGAGAACTTCAAAGGGAGCTAATGTGACTTTACAGGTCTTGTAAGTATAAAATGTACACCAAATTTCAAATACTTAGTATAAAATTCTCTTTATAATATTCAATGGTTTTTATATTGACTACGTGTTGGGAAGATTTTGGGTAAGTTGAATTAAATAAAATATATTACTAAAATTAACTTTTTCCTTTTTTAAACATGACTGCCAGAAAATTTTAATTGCTTTTTTGTAAATTTTTTGGTGCTGTGAATTGAACCTAGGGCCTTGAGCATGCTAAATGTGTGCAGTATCACTGAGTTACATTTCAATTCCCTCCATTATGTTTTTATTAGATAGTGCTGTTCTAGAGCAGCGCTATTCCAAGAAATAAATTAGCTGAGTAAAATTACATATATGAGTATGTGGCTAAGTAGTAGAGCACTTTACTTAGCATGTGTGAGACTTTAAGCACCATGATAAATGACAAAACTGAAAATTTCTTGGCACATTATCCTCTTAGAACCAAAATAATCAAAGATAATAAACAAGAAAAGTTGTCATAGTATCTGATGGCTATTACATGATAGGCAGAAATAGCAATTAAATTCTGTCTCAAAAGTAAGTATTAAGTTAAAGTATACCTAAAGAATCAAAACATTGTTATATTAAAATAGAAACATCTGATTTCACTATTAGAATGCATTGAAAGTTATATCTCATAAGTATTTTAAAAATTGAGTTCAACCAATAACTGATTTAAGATATAAAACTTCAGTCTCATATACTGTGTGTCATAATTTTAAGTCACATATGAAAATTGTAATTCAGATTGCTTTTTTGCCAATCCTTTTGATGTTTGCATACTGAGTCTTAAGGTTTACAAATTATTTCCTTTGGAAATTATTTTGTTTACTTGTTTTTTAAAGGTCTAAATTATGCTTAGTCCAAAGCTGATTTGTATTTTTGAGTTTTCTAAATTGAGAAGTACTGTTACAGCTTATTTCACTAGTGTATAGTCATCACATGGGCAATCTAGAATGAAAACCGTGATTATTTTAATTAATAGACCTGAGTCCTAATGTTTATTTCTCATAAAAAATTGTAAACTACTTTGTATGTACACATAACAGTGAAAAACATAAACTTCTGATCCTGAACTTGCTACAGAACATGATGGACTAGTAACAGAAAATGAAAGTGTTTGTTTGGCTTGCAGTGTACTCTTTTTTTTTTTTGTCTTTTTATCGGTACCGGGGATCGAACTCACAACTGCTATTTAGGATGAATACATCAGTGTTTACTAGAAATAAAATATAATAATTTAGACTTTCATGAGTAAGCCATAAAATGTTTAGCACTAGAAGTTTTATACATTCTTAGCTCTTTATGGTTCATTATGTATGTCTTTTCAAAATATAAAGATAATAGGATATCATTTTTGGTAGTTAGAAAAATATTTTCTAAGATAGTGGGTGGTGCTAGACTGTAATCCCTACCTACTTTAGAGATTGAGGAAGGAAGATAGCAAGTTTTTGGGCTATCCTGAACAACATAATGCCACTCTGTCTCAAAAAATTTTTTTCTAAGTAAGTTTATAAGGTAGTGCTTTAAAAAAAAAAAAAAGTACTTTTTTATCATCACTAAACTTTTTTTTTTTTTTTGTACCAGGGATCAAACTCAGGACCTTACCCTTCCAAGCAGGCACTTAACGCCACTGAGCTAAATCCCCAGCCCTGTCAGTAAATATTAAAAATAAACTACATTAAATTTTCTGTTTTGGAAAATTTTCTCTCCTAAGGAATCTAGAATTTATTGATAACAATACTGAGGAGAGACTTCTTTTAAAAAAGAACACTACGTCTCATTGTATAAGAGAAGTTTATAGTTTTGCTGTTAGAACCTTATGTACAGCAGTGAGAAAAATTTAACAAAGTTATTGCCTAATTTTTATTACAAGTTTTTTTAAATGTTAACTTCTGGTAGAAGTTAAACTTCTCAGCATTACATTGAAAAGCTTGGATGTTCTTATTTCTAAAGTCACATATAATGAAGGCTTATTATAACATAATATCAGATAGATTCTGAAATACTGTAATTTGAAACACTGGATGATTGTGGAAAAGTAAGGAATGAGTATTTACTCTTTGTGTGTTTCCTGCTGCTCAGTGGCCTGTGATACCCTGGCCCACAAAATTAACATTTTGTTAGCAAATAGGCATTCTGAAAAAATTATATCAATTTGAATTGTGTAATTTAGGATTCTCAGTAGTAAGTTTAAGGTAAAATTCAGTCTTGCTTACATTCACAATTTTTCTTTGTATCATTTTGAAGCCAAAAAACTACATTAAATGTGTTAAACACTTTTAGGGAATGATTTGTTCGTCTGCATAGTGCTCATCTCTAAAGCAGAAGCAAACCAACTGGTTTTTTTATTGATGGCTTTAGTTAGTGTGGTAGTGTGAGAGTGCACAGGGAAAACGTTTTATATCTTTCCAGATTTGGCAAGTTTAATGTTAGTAGAGACTTTGCATTAGTTGTGAAAGAAAACATTTGTGTAGGGTGCTTTTTATATAACAACACTTTATATATTTACCAGATTTTATTTATTTATTTATTTATTTTTAAGAGATCTTGGCTTCCATTTACCAGGTTTTTTTTTAAGTCTTGGTTTTTGTGAACATAGAAGCACAATGAAGGCTAAAACAATATTTTTAGGGCAGGCTAGTGAATGCTTTATTATATAGTTTCCTCTTTTGAATTTGACTATCTTTTAAAACATTTAACTTTAGAGTAACTAGTACAGTTGTTTTGCTGATCATTCCTATGAAATAAAGTATTGGCTATTTAATTGCCCTAAATACCCAGATTTTTGTGTTCACTAGAGAGCTCTGTTACGTAAGTTTTGAATTGGAAGATACTGAAAATTTTAAAATATAAAGAGTTCAAATTAGGCAGTATAATATATAGAAACAAATTATAATCTTAGAAATAAAAAAATTCAGTTATTTTCTGTGCCTTTTAAGTGTTAAGCATATGCATACATAGTTTTCTGCAAATTATAATCATAACCAAGACAAAAATTTATACTTTGCTTCTCTTCTACTTAGAATTATTAGATGAAAATGTTTTATTTTTCTATAAGTTTTCTATTGGTCCTGATGGCTTTTGTTTATATCTGTCAATTACTACATGATACCGTTTTGTCAAAAGTATTATAATGAACTGTAAAATTTTTAGATAATAGTTTTTATTTTGGTACTGTGTTGTTAGCATTTTTCTTTCATTTATGGATGAATGACTCTGTCATACAATTTTCTCTTATGTGTTGATTAATTTCAATATCTTGATTAGCGTCCAAGTCAAGTCCTGACCAAGATTTCCTTTTTCAGGTGGCAAGCCTATCTTTTTTTTTTTTTTTTTTTTTTTGTCTTTTTGAGACAGGGTCTTCCTACGTGGTTCAGGCTGGCCTTGGGCTCACTGTGTTGCCCAGGCTGGTCTTGAACTTGCAGTGATCACTTGCAGTGATCCCAAGTGCTGGGATTACAGGAGTGTGCCACTATGCAGGAGGCTATCTTTTTCACATATGACTATTGTTTGGATCAGTAGTTTTCCAAGCTCACTAATTCTTAAGCCATATCGTAATATATTTGGGGTAGCGTTTACTCAACAGAAACACTAAAAACAACAAAAACAAAACCCAAGCTATCCAAAATAATTTGTGTTCCTGAAAATGGAATGTAGGTACCAGAAAAAAAAAAAAACAATAAAACACATGTTGAACCTGAGATATAGCTCAGTGACATAAGTGCCTGCCTGTCAAGTGTGAGATCATGAGTTTGATCCCGGGTACCAAAAAAATGTAGAAATTTAATTTGCTTATTTTTTATAGTCATTAAGAAAAAAATAGATAAAAGCTTTGGTGAGCAACCAATATAAATATAAAGTAGTTGAAAAGAAAAGTTAGTATATTGTTTCTGTGCAGTTTCTCCAAAATTAATTTAGCAAATAGATTAAAAGACATCTGAGGTATATAAAACTGTTCAGAAGTGTTTCAAATTCTAGAGTTATGATGATTCAGTGTAGCAGTTAATTCTTGAAAGGTGATTGATGCATATGTAATTAATTCTTACTTTTGTACATTTCCAGCTTACAAAACACTACACAGCAAAATAATGATCTGCTAGACTGCTAACCCGAGCATCCAGCTTCCACAATGCCTGTGCAGGCAGCTCAGTGGACAGAATTTCTGTCCTGTCCAATCTGCTATAATGAATTTGATGAGAATGTGCACAAACCCATCAGTTTAGGTTGTTCACACACTGTTTGCAAGACCTGCCTAAATAAACTTCACCGAAAAGCTTGTCCTTTTGACCAGACTGCCATCAACACAGACATTGACGTGCTTCCTGTCAACTTTGCACTTCTCCAGTTAGTTGGAGCCCAGGTAAACTTGCAATATTTTACTAATTTATTGTCAGTAACAATTATCAAATTTTGTTTATAAGGAGTAAAAATTATGTTTGGTAATAATTGAGATATAAAAAGTAAATATTAGTTGTGCTTCCCTAGCATGTGTAAGCACCTAGACTCTATACCCAGCATTGTGATAGGTGATGTATTGGCTTTATATATTTTTCAAAACATTTTCTTTAGATAATGTCAGATTCTTACATAAAACTATAAATTACATTATAGTTAGGTATTTCTTTTTGTCCTCAATACTGTGGTTCAAGCTTATGTATGTAAGTAGTTTTTGATGGATGAAAATCTTCATTTTATTCCCTTTTTTGTTTTTGGCAAACATACACATCTGTAAATATTCTTTAAATGATATTAAAAGAAATATAAAAGCTTTTTCCAGAAATCAGTCAGTTAGATCTCTTATGGAGATGGTTTTAATTTCTTTTTAGCTCTAGTTTATTTAGGATTATTATGACTTGTGTCTAGATGTCTCCCCAAAGCCTCATGCAGTCATAGGTGGGGCTTTTTCAGAGGTGGCTAAATCTAGAATGTGTGAATGACTCATGGTGCAATGCTAGGATTAAGGGTGGGTGATTACTAAATCAGTCTGCTGATTGGTTTGGCACCACCCTAATTCCAGTAGACTGGACACAATATCAGGGACAGAAAGAGGCTTGCTTTTCTACCTTCTGCCTATCATGAGCAGTTTCTCATCTTCGTGCCTGTCTGCAATGCTACCCTGCCTTGGGGTCAGCCAATTATGAGCTGAAACCTTTATAAACTGAGCTGAATAAATCTTTTCACCTTTAACTTTGGTTATCCAGTATTTTGTCTCAGCAGTGAGAAAATATAATATTATAGATGAGAAAATAAATTCTACTGAAGATTTCTAAAACCAATTATCAGAGTGTCACTACTAAATTCTGCAGTTTCTTGTGCTTTGTAATGAATGTTTCATGTTACGTTTTTTTTACTGAGTCAGAGCAAGACCCTAGATTTACAATAATTTTAATTTAATGAGAAATATTTTGAGTTACATATGATAGTAGATTTAGTGTGGCTCTTCAGGTAGTTTTCCCAATTTTACAGAGGAGGAAGAAGGTGAAATTTTGTACATTGTTCCCACATATTAATAACAAAGTCAGAATTTTTCTACTATATTAAAAATTTATTTAAAACTTTTGATTTAATTAAAAAATTCAAAGAAATACTCCATTTCTTCCCTTAGTATGTGAATTTTTGAGGCTTTCTTTTAAAACAAAATCTATTTTCAGTATTTATAATCAGAGTCTCTGAAGTTAAGGTGCCTCTGTAATCAGTAATGCCGTAATTTAATTGACAGCATATTTTTCTTAATGGTGCAGTTTCCCCTTGGAAACAGTAATGTTTTACGTCCAACAAAATAGATGAATATTTTGCAATAATACTAGCTAATGTTTATGTAGAGTTTGTAGTAGGTCAGATACTGTGTTATTTTTACTTGAATGAATGTTACCCTGGTCCTTAACATAGCCTACAAAGTCTGTCTAATGTGATTTCTGTCTCTTCCATCTCTACTACAACTTTTCTCTACTACTTATCTTGATTTCTAGCAACACACAGGCTACATACACACAGACACACATACAAGCAAAGCTGGGGTAAATGCTGAAGCTTCAGGACTTCTATCAGTGTTATGTTATCTTTGCCTAGAACAGTGGTGGTGAACCTATGGCACCTTTTTGCAGCCGGCTGTTTTTTACCTGTTGAAAGCTCTAAAAGGTCCATCATCATTGACCTGGAATGTTCCTTCTCTTTCCTGTTTAAATCTTCACTCAAGGGGCTGGGGATTTAGCTCAGTGGCATAAGCACCTGCCTTACAAGCAGGCAGTCGTGAGTTCGATCCCCGGTACCGATAAAAATGAAAAAGACCAAAAAAAAAAAAAAATCTTTACTCAAATGTTTTAGTTCTCAAGGAACCCTATGCAACCCTAATGTTAACCATAACCCATATTAAAATTATAACTTCTCTCTCACATTCCTTCTCTCCTTAACCTCACTATGATTTTTACTGATCTTCTAGCAAACTGTATATTTATCTTTTTATATTTATTGACTGTTGCATCACTAAAAAGTAAACCCCCCCTAGGGCAAGAAATTTTGTTTTTTCACTGATGGGTCCCTAGTTCCTAAGACTTCAGAAATACAAATATTTATTGAATTAAACCGCACTTTAATAATGACACTATGAAATATAGATATTCACCTTCATTTTACAGATACGGAAGTTATGATGTATAAAAGTCAAATACTTTTCTCAAGAACACTGATAGAAATCCTTAAGCTTCAGTATTTACCCCAGCTTCACTTTGTATGTGTGTCTGTGTGTATGTATGTCTGTGTGTTGCTAGAAATCAAACCCAGGTCCTTGCACATATTAGGGTAGGCACTGTACCACTGAATTACATATCTAACTCCCAAAGTTTTGACTTTTAAAAAAACTTTAAAGTTTTGACTTTTGATTGGGAATGCTGTCTTGTGATGCTTATATTTATCAAGGGAGAAATAGTAGCAAGTTATAAACCTAGTAAGTAAATAGTATAACAAGGAGGTGCTAAATGCTATGAAGGAAAGCAGTTTATTGAGATACTTGGCTTTGATATATTAATATCTGTATTCTAATTTTACATTTACCAAGATTTTTATAAAGTATAACAACAGTTCATGAACTGAATGAATGTAGTTGGGCAACTTTTCTTTTTTTAGGTACCAGATCATCAGTCAATAAAGTTAAGTAGTCTAGGTGAAAATAAACACTATGAAGTTGCAAAGAAATGTGTTGAGGATTTGGCCCTCTACTTAAAACCGCTAAGTGGAGGTAAAGGTATGTTCACAAACATTTTTAATGGTGAGTAGGACTTGGTAAGTGTAAGTGGAGTATGTACAGTGATTTTTATCACTGATTTGATGGCTCCCAGTCCATAGTGGGAGATAGATGTACAAGTGTGGCAAATTACTTAATTGCTGTGACAAAAATGGAATTTTATTTTATCATTTTGTACCTAGTGTCTTGCATGTGTAATAGTGTAATAGATAGTTACTGACCAAGTCAGTCATTTTATTTCATACTTGATAAAGAGTGTGGACAAAGCACTATTTTGGTGCTTGAGATACTTTAGCAAAACAAACAAAAATATTTCTGTCCTCATGCATAACATTTGTATTTTAGAAAAAAGAAAAACTTTATTAAACATTATAATTTTTAAAAACAGATTATTTAGTAAACTCATTGATATAAAAAGAATACTGCTAGAGAGATTAGAAATGGTAAGGGGAGAAGAGTAAATTGCAATTTTTAAAATGTTTAGTGTAGGCTTGATTAAGAAGGTGACTTTTGAACTTGAAATGAGATGAAAGAGGTAAAATAGTTTACATAATTTCTGAGGATGAAGTTTCAGACAAAATGAATAGCTGTTGTAACATCCCAAGCATGCCTAGTGTCTTGAAGGAAAAGAAAGAGGTGAATGTGCCTGAAGAAATGTGAGGAATAAAACAGTACGAGTGAGAGGCTGGAGATTTAGCTCAGCAGCATAAGCGCCTGCCTTGCAAGCAGGCAGTAGTGAGTTCTATCCCCAGTACCGATAAAAAGGAAAAAGATAGATAAATAAATAAATAAATAAATAAATAAAACAGTATGAGTGGACAAAATGGGGAGGCCAAGTAATAAGTAACCTTTCAGGTTATTTAAAAATTTGAGTTGTTACTCTGTGTAATATTGGGGAATTCGTTGCTGGGTTTTGAATAGAGTAGTGAGTGGTATGATCTTACTAATGTTCAAGGAATCACTTTGGCTGCTGTGTTGAGAATTCTGTTTAGAAAGGCAAATGTAAGGCCGGGATTTAGCTCAACGGCATACGCGCCTGCCTGGCAATTGCAAGGTCACAAGTTGAGTCCCCGGCACAAAAAAAAAAAAGAAAGGCAAGTATAGAAGCATGATAATCAGGTAAGAGGCTATTAGAGTAAAGTTAATAACACAAGTTGGTGAAAAGTAGTTTGGATAAATTGAGATAAATTTTGGTATAGTAAGTTGGAGATTTCTAATATTCACTTGGATGTTACTGAACAGGCAGTGAATATATGAGTTTTCTGTTACCGGATAAGATCTGTGAGCTGTAACTGTGTCACTGCTATATTAGTGGTCTTTAAAGTAATGAGACTGCATATCACCTGACCAGTGAGTTTAAATACAAGAAATGTAGTGTGAGTCTCCTTAGCATTAAGAGGAAAGAAGACAGAGATGAAATCAGCAGAGAAGTCTAAAAGAAATGAAGAAAACTAAGAAAATGGAGTGTTTTTGAACCCAGATAAAGTGTTGATTGACAAGTGTTATCTGTGTTGATTGCTATTGAAAAGTTAAATAAGCAAAAGAGAATTTAATTATGGGTTTAGCAAATTAGAGGTATTTATCCTGATAAAGACCAGTTTTGGTCAAGAGATGTTAGCAGGGGTTGGGGGTTCAGCTCAGCGGCATAAGCCCCTGCTTGGCAAATGTGAGTTTGTGAGTTCGATTCCCTCCCCCATACCAAAAAAAGAGAGACATGATAGCAAAAACTTAACTGAAATAGAAATTAGAGATCGTGAAATAAGAAGTTGGAAATAGTGCAGCAATCCTGGAGTAATTGCTGAAATGGAGGAAAGAAATGAGATGCTGCTGGTTTGAAAGAAGAATCAATAAAAAAGTACTTATTCTTAAGACGGATGAAATAGCATACTTACTGTATGCTAATGCAAGCAGTCAAATAGAGTGGGAGAAATTAATGTGTTCATGTGAAGAAAATTGCTGTAATAGTTTCAAATGAGTAAGGTGTGAGATTTCGTCATGAAGTAGTGTTATTAATGTGTTGTACAATTAAAAAATTAGAACTAAAAAAATAGAATCTTACTATTTTTAGATTAAAATTTTCAATCAGTCATCTTTGACTTTTCCTTCAGTTGCTTTAGTAAAGATAGAAAACAGACTAAATAGATCAAAAGTTGTGTTTGGACACATGCAACCCAGTAAACAAGATATGTAAATGAAATCTGAAGTCACAAAACTTAGGTCCTTATACATAATGTTAATAAAACAGAGGCAAAATAGTTACTGTTAGTGTTTTAATGGTAAGGACAGATAATGAAAAATAGTGTTTTTTATTGAAAAATGTTTAGTTCCCTGTATTTCCCTTTTCTTAAAGGCGTGGCTAGTTTGAACCAGAGTGCACTGAGCCGTCCAATGCAAAGGAAATTGGTGACACTTGTAAACTGTCAGCTGGTGGAGGAAGAAGGTCGAGTCAGAGCCATGCGAGCAGCCCGTTCACTTGGAGAAAGAACTGTAACAGAACTGATACTACAGCACCAGAATCCTCAGCAGTTATCTGCCAATCTGTGGGCTGCTGTCAGGGCTCGAGGATGCCAGTTTCTAGGGCCAGGTAAGATACAGCACCATGTCAGCTTTGTTACTGATTATCAGGATTTGAGATGGCTAATTTCTACAGCAAAGTAAAAATCCTGAGAATCAACTCATTTATATTTAAACACACATATTTAGGCATAATGATGAGTCTTTTGTTAGTCATAATCTGTATGATAGATAGGCCTGTATTGTTTTAGAATAAATTTCTCATTTAATTTTAAGCCATCATTGAGATGGGAGACATAGCTACAACTTTTAAAACTTAAGTCTGAACTAGAAAGAGGTGTAAGACTGCACAGGTAGTAACTAGTCAAGAAAAGATAAACCTTTTTTTTTTCTGTCTAGGGGGAAAAAAACTCTTGACTGTTTTTAGAACTTGGGAAACATAAAAATTAATTGAAAAAACATTACCAGAGGATGATTCTTTTATGGTTAGTACTACCTGTGTTCTTTCTTTAAAACTCTATTGGGCTGGAGGTATCACTCAGTGGTAGCATGTTTGTGTAATTTGCACAAGGCCCTGGCTTTGATCCTCAGTCTGGACTGCTTGTGAGACCTGTCTCAAAAAGTAGCCCAGGCCAGGTGTGGTGATGCACACCTGTGATCCTGGTACTTGGGAGGCTGATAGAAAAGGATTACTGCAAGTTCAAGGCCAGCCTGAATTACATAGGAAGACCCTGTCTCAAAAAAATAAATAAATACATACATACATATATAAAATTTCAAAAAATCTACTCAGAAGCTTAAAATTTAATGGAAATAATTTCCTGTATGCTGTTTCTCCACATTCACTAGTTTTTAAGATTTTGCCTTGTTATTCTTTTTGAACCATTGAGAGTACCATTACATATTTTATGTGCCTTTTCCCTCAGTTCTTCATCTTCTTTTTTTTTTTTTTTTTTTTTTTTTTGTCTTTTTCCTTTTTATCGGTACCGGGGATCGAACTCACGACTGGCTGCTTTCAAGGCAGGTGCTTATGCCACTGAGCTGAACCCCCAGCCCCTTCCCTTAGTACTTCAGTGTTTCTTGAAAACGAGAATACTCATGTAAAAATAGTACGTCTAGCAGATTCACAGAATTTTCCAGTGATACAGTAGTACAATTGTAGCTTTATCTTTTATGAGATTTCTTTTCTTTTAGTGTAAGATCCAGTTTTCACTTACTGTATTCATTATCTCTGTAGTCATTATTCTTTTTTTTCTTTTTATCAGTACCAGGGATCGAACTCACGACTGCCTGCTTGCAAGGCAGGTGCTTATGCTGCTGAGCTAAATCCCCAGCCCCTTGTAGTCATTATTCTGAAACCATTTTCAGCCTTGCTTTATTTTCCATAACATTGATGTTCTCAAAAAATGTAGGCAATTTATTTTATAGACTGTTTCTTAATTTAGAGTTGTCTGATGTTCCATCATGAGTTGATTCAGATTACATTATACATTAGATATTTTAGATACTGCGTCTTTAGTTATTGCGTCCAGAGGCTGTCATTTTAAAATTATATGTAAAATACTACTACTGAGGCATGGCTCAGTAGTAGAGTGCTTTCCTCCTCTGCAGGGAGCCCTGCATTTCTTTGCCCAGCTCTAAAAAACAAGTAAAAATTTTAAAAATTAAAAAAGACAGAGTACCAATCTTTTGTGGTTTTTGTTTTTCTTTTTTGGGGGAGACAGAGTTTTGCTCTTGTAGTTCACACTGGCCTGGAGTCTCTATCTCAGGCTGGCCATGAACTCGTAGTGATCCTCCTGTCTCAGCCTCCTAAGTGTGGGGATGGCAGGCACTTGCCACCACACCCAGCTCAGAGTAACAATCTTATGCATAGCCTACTCTTTGTCTTTTGCTGCATGTTATTGTCAGAATAGTTCTGTGAATTCTGAGTTATTATTTTACCTTCATATTATTATCTATTATTTACATACAAAACAAACTTAATATGTTATATTAACTTGTGTTGTTCTCTGGTTATTTAGGAAGAAATATGTTTTCTTCTGCTTCATTACCTTTTAAATAACGGTATTTCAGAACCTATATTCTCTTTGTACTAATTAAGTACAGATTGTGGGTAGCAAACTCTCACAAACTAATACCCAAGGATCTTTGACAGACATCATCTGCAGGACCATGTGCTCATGTTCCTTTAATATTTCTAGCTATGCAAGAAGAGGCCTTGAAGCTCGTGTTGCTGGCATTAGAAGATGGTTCTGCTCTCTCACGGAAAGTTCTGGTACTTTTTGTTGTGCAAAGACTAGAACCAAGATTTCCTCAGGCATCAAAAACAAGTATTGGTCATGTTGTGCAACTACTGTATCGAGCTTCGTGTTTTAAGGTAAGCATTAAACAGCTGTCTTAAGATTACATGCCTATATGTGAGGCACTGAACAAAAAGAATATAAGGAAACAGTTTGATAAACTTAAGACTCTTACCAGAAAAAATTTTAAAATTGGATAGTGAAAGTGGACTGAGTAAACCTTATTTTTTATGTTTGTCATCTTAAAACAGAGTCAGAACCAGACATGATGGCACGCATGTAGAATTCTGGGAATCTAAGACATAAAAGATTGCAAGTTCATGCCCAGCCTGAGTAATTTAGTCTTTGTGTTTTAATAAAAAATGGGCTGGGTATTTAGCTCAGCTGCATAAGTGCAAGTGTAAGGTTGCAGGTTTGATCCCTGGTACCATAAAAAGGGAGGGGGGTTGAGGATGTGTGTAGAGGCCCTGGCTTCATTCCCCAGTACTACTACCACAAAAATAAAAATAAAAGTAGGAGTAGGAAAAAGGTGTTCAGAAACTATATTGTACTTCATTAGATTTAGTAAACTTTATAACCCTTTCTTTTTTTTCTTTTTGGTAACCCATTGGTTTTATTTCACTGTCTATAGTGATTAAAGCCTTTAACCTAAAAATGGCCTGTGTATTTTAGAGATGACAAGAAAGTTAAATTTGAAGGGATTGATCCACTTTACATTCTGTGTAGGGTTTTTTGTTTGTTTTGTTGTTGTTGTTTGGGGAAAGAATACAATATTTTATTTTTTTGGTACTGGGAATTGAACTTACAACCTTGCACTTGCTAGGGAGGAACAGTGCCTCTGAGCCATATCCCCAGCCCCAAGAACACAATTTTTTTTTTTTTTCCCTTTTTATCGGTACCGGGGATCGAACTCACGACTGCCTGCTTGCAAGGCAGGCACTTATGCCGCTGAGCTAAATCCCCAGCCCCAAGAACACAATATTTTAAAGCATAGTGTCATTGTCCAGTAGGCTTTGGTAGTGAAAACTACTAAGAGAAGTAGAAAACACTTCTCTTAGAAAACACTAAGAGAAGAAAAACACTTGAAACACTCACCCCCCACACCTGGGGATCAAACTCACCACCTTGCGCTTACCAGGCAAGCATTTGAACTGCTGAGCTAAATCCCCAGCCCTAAATCCTGTAAGTTTCTAAAAAGAGTGTAGATTATCAGCTAGTTCTTGAGATAGACACAAGTACTTGGAGAAAAGTCTTTTGTCCTCTGTGAGAGTAAAACATCTAAATTTGAAACCAAAGACTATTTAGGCTTTTTTGCTCATTTTAAAACCCCAAAAGTAAAAATAATGCAAATCAAAAGCAAAAAAGTTCCTTGTTAGTTTTAGATCAGAGGTGATTGATGATGTAAGTGTGTTTGGATGGATATACTTAACTGTACTTGGATACTATCTGCCTGATAGAGTTCTTGATTCCATGTCCTTAGGGAGGCAACAATTATAATGAATCTCTGATTCCTCAAACATGTTTTTAGCTAAGCTGCCAAATTACACAGATCGTTTGTCATCCTGAAATGACCAACTAGATTTTCAGAGTGTGCATTGCTGATGTAATGTTTTTTTTTTCCTTACAGATTTGCTACTGATTTGTGGTTTATGATTATCATACACCAATACCTGGTGCTGATGTATCTGCCATTTGAATAGCAGTAGTTTAGAAAGTTACTTTAGTTTTATGTTATTATTTAGTGCACACTGCCAAATAGTTTAAAATATTAAAGCACAATATTTGAATGAATAAAATAATATACTGACTTAACTGCCAGAGGATCTCTTGGGTAACTTTTTGCAAATTCAACATTATCCAAGGTCTTTTACTCATCTTCATCAGTTTAGAATAAATTTGGTATGTAGTATGGAGGTCAAACTTAATTGTTTCAATAAACTTGGGAGCCATCAGGAGCATTGGTAAAGAATACTTCTGGATGTGTATGATTGCATCATAGAAGGGCGACCTTGGTTACTGTACGTGGTCCTTTGCCCCTTTTTGTCACTGTTAATTTGCTTGCTCCAACTAAGCATCTTTGGCCTACCATACCTTTCTGCTGTGATGGTTGTACCTTTGAGACTATTGATCGTGGACTGGAATGCCTGACACTGCGAGCTAAATTAAACCTCGCTTCCTTTAAATTTCAGGTGTCAAGTATTGTGTCGCAGCAGCAGAAAGCTGACTAACACATACTGTAAATTCTTTGTTCTAGATTAAGAGCACTTTAACCAAGATTACATACAAAAGGTTTTCAATTTTATTAATTTATTTATAATGAGTATCAGTTTTATTAATTTGTAATGAGAAATGTGATTCCTATCCCCTGGAACCAGAGATATTCTTAAGCAAGTGCCCTGTCACTGAGCTATACCCCTATCCCCTGAGAAGTGCAATTTTTAAGTGCTTTGGATTCCCACAAGTATTGTCTTGTAAAGCATATCAAACCTAAGTATGGAATCAGAACAAGGGGAAGTAATGATTCTCATTTTTAGCTCAGTAGTTCTCAATTGAACGTACATATCAGAATCATCTGTGTATTTAAAAATACACAGTAAAGGGCCAGGGATTTAGCTCAGCTGCACAAGCACTTGCCTGACAAGTGTGAGGTCATGAGTTAAATTCCCAGCACCAAAAAAAAAAAAAAAAAAAAAAATACACAGTCCTGGGACCCTGGAAATTCTGACTGAGCTTATCTGAATGTTTATATGTACTTCTTAGTTATTTTTGGGAATCCTAATGCAATGGACCTAAGATTGTATCTTTCAAAGCTTCATAGATGGTTTTGATGCATATTAGTTCATTAGTAGACTTTGTCAGCCACCTATATCCTTCATTAGTTTAGTGGTTATGCTGCTTGGGAATACGCTATGCCCTATCTGGTGCCGAGTGCTACTACCTAAGTAATTTTCCTTTTTTTACTATTAGGGTTGATACCTACTGTGTTTGTTTGTTTAAGTAGGTTATGGTAGAATATAGATTACTCTCACTCTACTCCACCCCACTTTTTTGCAGTACTAGGGATTGAATCTTGTGCCTTTGTACTGAGCTTTATTCCCCCATCTTTTTGCATTTTAAGACAGGTCTTAGGAAATCATCATATTATCCAGTCTGGGTTCTATCTTGAGATCCTCCTGCTTCAGCCTCCCAGAGTGCTGGAACTGTAGACATGAACTGCAATACCCAGCTTCTATTCTTCCTTAAATATCTACAATTTTATTGCTCAAATTTTCAGTATTCCAAATTCTTCTCTTATGTATTTTTGGATTCTCAAAGAGAAATGTGAACTATAATTCTCAAACGGTAACTTGGTTTCCCCATATTTGTGTTCTTGGAGGCATATTACTGTTGTCTAATATACCAACAACAGCAATGAAAGCAACCAATGAGGTGCTTTGTGATTATTTTCCTTTACCAGTGAGGAAAACTAAGTTTTGAATAGTTTACCTGATTTGTACAGTCTAAATTTCAGAACCTGGACTAGTCTTAGATGTTTTAAATCATAGCAAAGTTTTGATTTTCACTAGTCATTATCAAGTTTGAGTAGTTCAGGGATAAATGTGTATCAGTTATTTGTGGAAATTATATATATTAAAAAACTTTACTACTTTAGTTCATAGGAATATGGAATAACTTGTATAGCTTTTGATTTTAAGCCAAGTAGAGTTTAAAGTTTTTGTTGTGGCAGAATATTCTTAACTGTCCTGTGGTAGTGCTATTATATGTGTCTATTCATTGATTGAATTTCCTTGATTTTTTTTTTTTGATAATGCTAGAGATGAAACTTAGGGCTTTGCTCCTGTGAGGCAAGCACTGTACCATTGGACTACTTCCCCATTCATATTTGCTAGAGTTCTTGCTTACCTAACTTTATCAAGCCTCTGCTGCTACCAATATGGTGTTTATTGAAATGTAAATCTGTGGGGCTGGGGGTTTAGCTCAGCGGCATAAGCGCCTGCCTTGCAAGCAGGCAGCCCTGAGTTCAATCCCCAGTACCGATAAAAAGGAAAAAGACAAAAAACAAACAAACAAAAGAAAGAAATGTAAATCTGATTATATCACTTTCTGCTTAAATTCCTCAGTGGCTTTTCATTCTCATCAAGATATTTCTTTCTTTCTTTTTTTTTTTTTTTTTTTTTTTTTTTTTTTTGGTACAAGGATTGAACTCAAGACCTCGTGCTTGCCAAGCAGGCACTTATGACACTGAGCTAAACCCCTAGCCCCACATCAGGATATTTCTTACTGTAATATATAGTAAAAGATCTTCTAGAACTCTTGCCTGGCTTATATCTTACTCTTTAACTAGGTCTTCTCCTCTTTTATGTTTCTATTTTACAGGTTGCTACTCTTTTTAGAATTCTGTTCCTTGTTATAGTTCATGTTGATGTAGTTCCTATAGTCTTCAGCAGGGAGAAGCCTTTTCTGAAATCTCTTTCCTCTGTTTGCCAGTCAGATTTAATTGCCTTTCTTCTGTGTTGCCATAGAGCCTTATAATTGCATTGTTACTATAATTTTCTGTTTACTAGTCTCTTTGTCGCCAGCTGCTAAACTCATTGATGGCAAGGACTGTTTGTTTAGTTATGTAAGTTGTATTTTGTTCCAAAAAGGATTTGTGGTTTAAGTATTATGTTTGTATCTCCTATGTGTGATGTCTTATATGAAGTATGTACCTTCTTATTCCCCCTAAAAAGTAAATTAATTGGCTTAGAAGAAAAAGAGTAAATCAATTCTGATGAGTTTTCTTTTTCTTACTTTTTTTTGTTTTTTACTTTTTGGCTTTCTTTTTTTTTTTTTTTTTTTTTTTTTTTGTTGTTGTTGTTGTTGTTGTTTTTTGTCTTTTTTCTTTTTATCGGTACCAGGGATCGAACTCACGACTGCCTGCTTGCAAGCAGGCGCCCTGTGCCGCTGAGCTAAATCCCCAGCCCCTGTTTTTTACTTTTTTAGGTTACCAAAAGGGACGAAGACTCTTCCCTGATGCAGCTAAAGGAGGAATTTCGGAGTTACGAGGCACTACGCAGAGAACATGATGCCCAAATTGTTCATATTGCTATGGAAGCAGGACTCCGTATTTCACCTGAGCAGTGGTCTTCACTCTTATATGGTGACTTGGCTCATAAATCACACATGCAGTCTATCATTGATAAGGTTTGTGAAATTAAAGATGCTGATTTTATACCATTGTTTTTACTTTGAAAAGTATTGGAGTACAGATGCTCATCTACCAAATCCTGGTAAACTCATCTGTATTGAAAATGCATTTAATGTATTTACCCTACCAAACATAAAACTCTGCAACATTGTACACCATAGCATATTGATTGTTTCCCCTGATGATCCACATGACTAAGAGCTATAAGCTTAGTGCCAGTACTTGGTATTTTATGAGTATCATACTGCATATAACTATTCTGGAAAAAATTAGAACTTTGAAATACGGTTTCTACTGAGTAAATATTGTTTTCTACCATTATAAGGAAAAATTCTAAGTCAAACCATTTTAAGTGAAGGACTGTCTGTATTTTAAAGAACTAAAGAGACAAATAGTTGGAAATTTCCTTGTTTTTAAATATGAAACTATTTCAAAATAACTTTTTTTTTTGAGACAGAGTCTTGCTGTGTAGTTCAGGTTGATCTTAAACTCACTATATACTCCAGACTGTGCTTGAAATCACAGCAGTTCCCCTGCTTTAGCCTCTCAAATACTGAGAGTACAGGCATGCATCACCACACCTGGTCGGTCTTATCTACCTAGCTTTTATCTATCTACCTGTGTATTTTTTTGAGACAGTGTTTTGCTATGTAGCTTAGGATAGCTTTGAACTCACTGTGTATCCCAGGCTGGCATCAAACTTGCAGCAGTCCTCCTTCCTCTACATCCTGAATTTGCTTTTTTTTGTCTTTTTCCTTTTTATCGGTACCGGGGATCGAACTCACGACTGCCTGCTTGCAAGGCAGGCGCTTATGCCACTGAGCTAAATCCCCAGCCCCCATCCTGAGTTTTCTAAGATTACAGATTTTTTTTTATTACTTTCTAACTTTCAAAATTAAGGGCTGTGACAGGGAATCAGATACAAGATATTACCATAAAAACAGGCATACAAGGTCTCAAGTTTATCTATATTCTGATCCTAGGGAATAAATACAATTTATAAATGTTTTCTAAGTGTCTAATGATGAGTTTCATAGGGCAGATTCTGAGGTGAAAATTTAGTTCATCATTGATACTCTTTCTATGGAATCTGAAGACACTTCAAACCTATTACATAGCTGATGTTTTGAAAGCGTTTGAATGTGAGTGTGTTATAAGAACCAGAGTAAAATAATTCTCTCTTCTGTTTGTTAGCTGCAGTCTCCAGAATCATTTGCAAAGAGTGTCCAGGAATTGACAATTGTTTTGCAACGAACAGGTGACCCAGCTAACTTAAATAGACTGAGGCCTCATTTAGAGCTGCTTGCAAACATAGACCCTAATCCAGGTTTGTGGGGTAATGGTCACATGCTTGTACTTTGTCTGCCTTTGAGGTAAATACTACAAAAATTACTGCTAACACCTTTTTCCTTTTCTTCATCCTCTTGACATTTATTTTAGATGCTGTTTCACCAACTTGGGAGCAGCTAGAGAATGCAATGGTGGCTGTTAAAACAGTGGTGCATGGCCTCGTGGACTTCATACAAAATTATAGTAGAAAAGGCCATGAGACACCTCAGGTAGGTACATTTATTGCACTTCTGACTGCTGTTATCTTATAACAGTTTCATCTGCTACATCTTAACAACCCATTTGGCTAATAGACTTTTTTGGCCGGGACTGGGAATCAAAATCAGGACCTTATGCTTACAAGGCAGGCACTGTGCCGCTGAGCTATACTCCTGGCCCCTATTAATAGACTCTATATGAGACTTTTCTCTCAGGTTGGTTTGGTTTGGTTTGCTTTGGTTTTGTGTGATGTTAGGGATTGAAACCAAGGCCTTGCACATGCTAGAAAAGCACTCTTCCACAGAGCTATGTCCTTTTTCCCCTCAGAAGTTTTTATTGTCTGTATTCTTTTGGAAGAAGCTCAGTTTTTAGTACAGCTACCTAATAAGTATTTCATAGTATAGCAAAGGCTAGAGGGTATCTTGGATATGAGTTCACTAAGTTTTAAAATGGTTTTGACAAGTACAGGTTATTGATTCCTTCTAAATTTTTTGTCCAATTCTTTTCTTCTGTGGAAAATTGTTACTTTTTCCCTCGTTTTATCATCTCCCAAGTAAACTTCATTTTATAAAAGTATGGAATTTGAATTTTCAAGATATTTTCATTCTTCACAAGAAGTTAAAAGAAATCCTTCATTCTAATAATAACTTCCATTAAATTATTGTGGGTCAGTTTCTATGTATAGTACTCTACATAAAATTATTTCTAATCCTCACAGCTATTTGTAAGGTAATTGCTATTTGCAAGTTGCAACTTAAAGAGGTTAAATAACATCTAAGATTATACTATCAGTAACCGAGCTGGGAGTAAATCTGCTAGAGTCTGTTACCTTTTTACTCTTCTATCCACTAGACATTATAATACTCAAATATGAATTAAGTCATGTTTTCATCTTACTAGGGTCACCACAATAATATCTTAAATTTTTATGTAAATTATGGCATTTACAATTTTTTTTATATTCTATCTCATTATTTGTTTGAATTACACATCTGAAGCCTGATAATTGTTTAAAACCTCCAAGTTCTAATGAATTAAGTAATTTTCACTTTTAGGTCAGAAAGTGTAATTGAACAAAGATTATGGTGTTTTGTTTGTTTGTTTGAGACAGGATCTCATCATGTAGTTCACCTTGGCCTTGAGCTTACTGTGTATCCTAGGTTGGCCTCAAACATATGATTCTTGTATCAGCTTCCTAAGTGCTAGGATTATGGGCATTGGCCACATACAGCTTTTTAAAATACAGTTTAAAAGTTTTTTTGATGACACAATTTTAAGATAACAGTAAGTGACTTAAGAAAATCTTACATAGCTTTTCTTTTCTTGGGCATTGTGTTGCCTGACAAATAGATGTAAAATTTAAACCAGTTTCAGATAATCTCCAGAATATAAAATGTCATCTCAGAGTTACACTCAACAGAAAACAATGGAATGGTAGTTGTTTCACAACAAGAATTACTAATCTAATGTGAAAAAGAGTTGCATATATAATCATTAAGGTTTGAAGTCCTAAGGTGAATAACAATTGAAATCTTTTTTCTATATATTGAATATTTTCCTTTTTATAGCCTCAGCCAAATAGCAAATACAAAACTAGCATGTGCCGAGATTTGCGACAGCAAGGAGGGTGTCCACGAGGAACAAATTGTACCTTTGCCCATTCTCAGGAAGAGCTTGAAAAGTAAGTTTTGAGTATTTTCTTTCACATAATTTTAATTTTTGGTCATTAGAGACTGTCATTATATAGTTTTTAAGTCTGTGATATATCAAAAATACAAGTGAGTTTATATATTAGATTCTTTAGATTGCAAAAATAATCTTTCCTTTTGAAACCACTAGAAAATTAATCTGGATGCAAGATTAATAGGGTAAGTGATTTAAGACCTTATCCAGTGATCTTATTTTGAGATCATTTTATACCTGGATTCTTCTACCATGAACTTCTACCTGCTGAACAGTAGGCATGTGTATCAGTTCTTAGTGAGCATCTTCATCCTGCTTTTAGACACTTTACCATTACACTGAGCTAATGTTCTCTTCCTATGTCTCCCATTCTTTTGTCCTGCTCTTCCTTTGTGTGCCCTGCACACCATGTCTATACCATTTCATGAAAGACTTTGTTGTCAACTGTTTATCCTTCAGCTTTCTCTCCTTAATCATTTACCAATTTCTGCCAATTCAGTTTCCTACATGTCTTTTAACTTTTTTTGTTGTGTCCTTATAGTCATAGCTTTCATCCTTTTTTTTTAAATCCATTGTTGCTTTCTAACTAGTGCCTGTCTCCTCTCCCATTGTTTGCCACAATCAGAAAGTAATATTTTATCATCATAGCTCAACTTCTGTTACTCCTGTGCATCTGTCTTTGATATTTTCTCATTGTCCTAAGGATTAAGATAGAAAATCTGGATTGTGGAAAGAATGGCCCTCATTAAGAAATCAAATAATAAATACTAGTGAGGCTACAAGGAAGAAGAAACTTTTTACACTCTTGGTGATAATGTAAATTTGCATAACCACTATGGAAATCAGTATGAATATTCCTCAAAAAATTGAAATTAGAAATTTCATTTGACACAGATATCCCCCATCTAGGTATCTTCCCAAAAGAGTTAAAGACATCATATTAAAGTGATATATGCATATCTATGTTTATAGCTGCACAATTCATAACAGATAAATCTTAGAAGTGGCCTGTATGTCCATCAACAAATGAATGGATAAAATGTGGCATTTATACATAATGGAGTCCTATTCTGCCATAAAGCACAATAGACTAGAATCATTTGTAGAAAAATGGATACATTTTAAGGCCATAAATTTGAGTGAAATATATCAGACACACGGAGTTACGTATCACATAGTTTATCTTATCTGAGAAACTCAGTGAAAATAAAGAGCAAAATAATAAGGGAATAGGAAGTAAGGAGATCTTTCTTAAAGGGAAAAGGAATCAAGAAAGAGATGGAGGGTAGGGTAGAATAGGGGATGAAGAAAAAGAATTGTGATGGGTTATGTGCATGTACCAGCTCCACTCAAAAAAGTAAACAATATTTAGTATATACATGTATTAATAAACTAAAATAAGATTTTAAAAAAAGGGCAAAAATCTGGGTTGTGGCATTTTCTAACCTGGGCTGCCTTTCTGATCTAATGTCACAGCACTTCCTAATTTTGCATTATACTCAAGCCACACTGATTTACTGTCAGTTCTTGTATGGTACCATACTCCTTCAAGTTTTTCATATAATATTATTTCTTCTAACCTAACCTGTATTTGCTTTTAGTCTACCAATCCCCACCCCCCTTTTTTTTTTGTAACAGAGATCGCACTTATGACCTCACACGTGTCAGGCAGGCCTTATGCCACTGAGCTAAATCCCTGGCAGTCCTTCACTTTTTTTTAAGAGAATCTGATCTTTCACGAGTTTGTACAACCAGGTTCTTCTTTGTCACATATATCACATTTATAATCAGTTGATGGTGTATTTTAGAAGTTGACAGGCTTTCTAGAAAATCTTAAGTATTAAATAACATTGGCTTTGTGTACCACATAATTTCATTATGAAAGTCAAGTCTGTATGACAACAAAAAAGCCACACAAAATGTGTAAAGTGGACACTGCCATAAAGTTTATTTACAAAAGCAAACAACTTTGGTCCACATGCCATAGTCATGCAACTCTGATCCATTTATTGAATATTTGTCTGCAAATACAAAACTAGCATGTGCCGTTAACTTTCACTTAAGTGTAAGTTCTACATACTATGTCTGTGTCATTTATTGTTGTCTTCCTTTTCCATTGCTACCAGTCAGCCCTGCATATCATGAGCTCTGTAATAGTAGTGTTTTTACAGAAAAGAATTACGACGTGTTTTTCTTTTTGATTTTTTTTCCCTTAAAGAACCTAGAGAGGATTCAAGAATCCTCAGAAAATTGTTGTTTATGCTTAATCTTTCTTTCTACATAGAATTTCACATCAAGATAGAGATTAAAGGAGATATATTCAGTTAATCTATACCTGAAACTGAGGTTTTTAGCTAAAATAGAGCTTTTGAAAGGACCTTGCTTGGAAGTATTTAGATTAAAATATGTCAGAGTGGAAACTATATAGTTTCATTGCCATTTTATCATCAGTTGGTACCCCAGCTCCAAATCTGTTGCTTCTTTCATATTTCTTCAGGTTAACTTTCTACTCTTTTCTCCAGGACTTGGTTCTAAACCTTACTATCTTTTACCAGAATTATGATAGTAATAAAGATAATAGCTAAAATAATTGATCAAATTTTTAGGTCTGGTGCCATTTTTAGTTTTTCATATGTTAACCCAATTTATTTTACTTTTTCATTGACTTTTTACCTGCTATTTCCCTGTGTCTCACTGAGTCTTTTGCATTTTGAATAAAAATATTAGTGGTATCCATGTCTGGCTTCAGATTCTTGGTTACTTTCTCATATAGCACAATATCTGGTCTAAACCTTACCTTCTGGGATTATTATTTTAAATAATTGTCTAAGGTACATCCAGTTAATCACTGTTGATTTGCTACTGTATGAATTTGTTTTTTCTTTCCTCTTTTGATGCTATTTTCTTCTCTTATGTGCTTTCCTCTCTTTTCTCTGTGTGGAAAGCTGTTTCTGTTTATATTCATATATTTTCCCTCAGCATACTTCCCCCATTTGCTCTCATACTGTTCATTTCTTCCTTCATTTTGCTACTGCAGAACTTGTTGTAGGTCATCTTATGTTACTATAATAGAATTTCAAGACTGGATAATTTATGAGAAGAAAAATGTACTTGACTCACAGTTTTGGAGAATGGGAAGTCCAAGATTGAAAGACCACGTTTAGTGAAGACTTTTCTTGCTGGATGATCGCATTGGTAGAATGCGGAAGAGCAAAAAGAATCAATGTATAAGAGAGGGAAAGGAAAATAGAGGGAAAGGAAGTTCAACTCATTCATTTATCAGAAACCCAATTCTGTGTTAAGGATTGGGAGTAAGTTTCCAACACATGAACATATTCAAACCAGAGTAACACTATATGTAGCAATTATAACTAATAGTTGTAAAATTACCCTCTTGCAGTTGTTTATTTATTTATTTTTTTATCGGTACTGGGGATCGAACTCATGACCTCCTGCTTGCAAGGCAGGTGCTTATGCCGCTGAGATAAATCCTCAGCCCGCAATTGTTTATTTACATGCGTGTTTTTTTCACTGGACTTAATTTATCCACGGGTTTTTCAACTTTATATTTCATGTATCTAGCAAATAATCTATCATATAAACTCAATATGTTGGTATCCACAAAAACAAATAATCTAGTTTTTATTTCTTATTTCCAACCAGTGTGACAGTTTTCTGTTGCTATTAAAACAAACAAATGGGGGCCATTCAAAGGGTTAGAGAAGGAGATGCTGTCATTATATCAACTTGGTTTAAAATACATGTTGCTGGGGCCAACGACATAACTCAGGGACACAGTGCCTGCCAGGCAAGCCACAAAGTTGTGAGTTCCATTTTTGGTACCAAAAATAAAGAAATACATACATACATACATGTTGCTACCTCGGATATTTGAGAATACAGTGTCTTTAGTTCACGTAACAAACTTCAAATGTTTCAACAAAATATTCAACAAAGGTCAATAAATATTTATTTAACTTAGATAAATTACTTTTATCCCTGCTTTTTTTTAAAAATCTTTTTATTGGTACCGGGGATCAAACTCACGACCGCCTGCTTGCAAGGCAGGTGCTTATGCTGCTGAGCTAAATCCCCAGCCCCTTATCCCTGCTTTTTTCTTCTCACTTTAACCAAACAAAATATAAATGCTCAACAGTTTCTCTTTAGAATGTATGTTGAAATCCTGCCTCCAAGAATTCCTGCATTCTGAGAAGTGTCAAAACTCCCCACAATGTTTATAAAAGACCATTATGTGCTCAGTACTGTTTGAAGGACTTTAGTGGGGAAAAAGGAACAGTAAACATGGAAATAAATAATTTCAGTAGTTTGGTAGGCTACAGCAAGAAATTTGAATGTTAGTTTTGTGGTAGCCGAAAATGATTACAGGGCTTATTCAAGTGGAACAATGAAATTTTAACTTGTCATAGAAATGTCACTGTGGAGCTGGGGGCAGTGTGTGATACACGTCTGCAGTCCTAGCATTTGGAAGGCAGAGGTGGAAGAATATTGTGTTCATGCCAACATAGGCAGTTAGTGACTTAGACCCTGTCTCAAAATAAGAACAGGGATACGGATATAACTCAGTATGAAGGCCTTATGTTCAATCCCCAGTGCCTCTAATAAAAGGAAGGGTGACTGGGAATGTCTCTTAATGTTACTGTGCCCCTCATTTTGATCCTTAGTACTGCAAGAAAAAAAGGTCACTGTGGTGCCTATATAAATGGAAACCAATTAACTGCTACAGTTATCAGATATAAATTTGGTAGCATGGTCACAGTACTGTAGCTATGGAAATGATGAAAAACAGTCATATTTGGGATTCATTTTGGAAATAGAGCTGCCAAGATAGATTGAATATAAAGTAAAAAAGAAAAGCAGGTTCCAGGAGCCAAGGTTTGGAGCCTGTGTAACAAAGTAATATTTTCTACTGATATAGTAAATGTTTTGAGACAGAAAATAAGTTTTTCTTTTGGCCATACGAAGGTTAAAACCTACTCCATATTCATACCACAAATATTTACTAGATACCTAGTATCCACAAGACCCTATATGATACACTAAATATAGAGTAGTACATAAGAAGGGCAAAGTGTGACCTCACTGGATTAACATTGAACTAAAGGAGACTAGCATAAAACACATAAATATAAAGCATAATATCTGGTAATGACTGGTGCTCAGAAGAAAAATGATACAAGATAATGATTAGGAAAAATAACAGAAACCGGAATTAAGTAATGGAACATGAAAGAAAGATAGGAGTGAGGTGTTGAGACCTGAGGCACAAGTGGAGAAATTGGCTTTATTAGAAACTGGAGTTCTTTGTCCTTTTTCCTAGGGAGATTGTGTGATTACAGATGCAGAAAGGTTAGTGGAACTGTTGTTAGATAATTCTCTAACGATTTCATCTGTCATCTTGCTTAAGTGGGAGACAATATGATAGGCTGTGGAGCGGCTTTAGAGAGTGAAAAGGAAAAGAATGGTAGAGCTGGGAAAGTAAATTTAGTAAAGAATTATGTTAATGAATTGTTTGGCCATTTAAAAAAGTTGCCTCTACCAGCATGTAGCTACTTGGGAACAGGCACAGAGTAAGTGCAGCATTTGGTTAGGGTTTTACCAAATTAATGCAGGATGCATAAGACCAGTGAGTTAAATGGATTTACAAGGGAGGGATTAATGGTGGATAATGGATTTTAAAATGGGTAAAGAAGGGAGGAATTACTTGAGGAAGCTTGTGTATACATTTTTTTTTTTTTTTTTTTTTTTTTTTTTTTTTTTTTTTTTTTTTGAGACAGGGTCTCTCAATGCAGTTCAGGCTGGGACCTCTCTTTGTAGCCTAGACTTGTCTTGAACTCATAATGATCCTCCTGCCTCAAACTCCTGAGTGCTGGGATTCCAGGCTTGAGCCACCACACCCAGCCCACAGCTCATGTATAATTTTAAAAAAGAAAAAATAGGAAGGCCAGGCATGGTGGTGCAAACCTATATCCTAACATTCAGGAGACTGAGGCAGGAGGATTGCTGTGAGTCCAAGGCCAACCTGAACATGGAGTGAGGCCCTATCTCCAAAAAAAAAAAAAAAAAAAGGAAAGAAAGAAATAGAAAACAAGGATGGGGTTCAGATTACAAGTCCAAGCTGCTCAGATGCCAAGGTACCAATATGTATCCCTTCCTCTTACTCACTTTGCCTCACTTAGTTAAGGTTTCACTTAATCCTAATTCTCCTTTTATGTTGTTTTGACTTTGAGACAGGGTTTAGCTATGTAGTTCAGGTTGGTCTTGAACTCAGTGTGTAGCCTAGCCTGGCATCCAACTCTAGCAGTCTTCTTGCTTTAGCCTCTAAGTGCTGGCATTACGGATGTGTGCTACCACATGTTTCTCATTCCTCTCTTTTAAGAGATTCAGATACAAAACTTTGCTTATTTCATTCAACAGTTTTAATAATATCTGAGATTTGTCCTTTGGAAGTGGAGTAACTGGGCGTTTTGTATAAGAGCTTTGAAGAAAGAATGAAGAGTAGATGTTAACATGTTGAAAGCACCAATTGTTCAACATGTTAACATCTACCCTTTAGAAAGCAACCAGTTAACGTTTCTAAAATACAGGTCTGCTCATGTGCCTCCTCCAAGAAGTAATCATTCCATCAGTGTCTACAAGATAATATGTAGGCCATCACCAGTATGAGTTTATTTTTGGGGAGCGATAAAAGAATACCCCACCTCACCCCCTGAACAGTCAGCTGTTTCAGAGGAACTGTACTTTTTTGGTGACTTTGCAAGCCTACAGCTGGTACTGAGCAACTATTTAGAGGACAACAATATGCAATACAGTAACTAGTGTAGATTTCCCATTGTCTTATCACTTTTAATTTGTTTCATTAGCAAATGTTTGTTTTTTTATTTTATTTATTTTTTTACTGGTACCAAGGATCAAACTCACAACCGCCTGCTTGCAAGGCAGGTGCTTATGCCGCTGAGCTAAATCCTCAGCCCCTTAATTTTTTTGTACTAAGAATCGAACTCATGACCTTGTGCTTGCCAGCCAAGCTCTTTGCTGATGATCGATATCCCTGGCCTATTTTTAAAATTTATACTTCATATTCTATTATTCTACCTTCAGCCAGTCTGATCTGGGAGCACTTGTGTTTTGTTGAACTTCATCTTCTGTGTGTATGGGTAAATAATGACGCTGTCTAGATAATGAAGGTCTAAAAGGGAAACTATTCTGAAAATATTCCTCATCAGTAACTGTTACTTTGGGCTGGGGATTTAGCTCAGCCGCATAAGTGCCTGCCTTATCAGTAACTGTTAGTATTAAATATTGTATTAATTTAGCTATAATCATGGCTCCATATATATGTAGTCTTCTTTCTGTTAATGTAACTTACCTTTTTCCTATTTGAAAATATTGCATGGGACATTGCAGGAAATAAAGACTTAAGACTACATCGATCTATAAGTAGAAACAGATTTTCTTTTTTTTTTTTTTGGTCTTTTTTCCTTTTTATCGGTACCAGGGATCGAACTCATGACTGCCTGCTTGCAAGGCAGGCGCTTATGCCACTGAGCTAAATCCCCAGCTCCGAAACAGATTTTCTTAAATGGAATTTAAGATCAAATTGTTTCTTATGTTAGAGTATTATATCTAATCACCATAAATAAAGCTCAGAACTTAGTTTAAATGAAGTTTTTTTTTTGTATATCTATTTAAAAAAATTTATGTATTTATGTATTTATTTTGGTACCAAGGATTGAATTCCTGACTTCACCCTTGCTAGGCAAGCATTTATGCCACTGATCTAAACCCTCAGCCCTTGTTTGTGTTTTTTGAGATAGGGTTTCACTGTGCAGTTGAGGCTGGCCTTGAACTCACTGTATAGCCCTGGTAGGCCTTGAACCGAGAGCAATCCTGCCTCAGTATCCAGAGTGCAGGCTTATAGGAGTGCACCACCACGCCTGGCTCAGAAAAATCTTTAATTCACACAATTTTTACTTTAGGCATAAAGTAATCTGCGAAACATAATACAAAATTTCTACATTTTGGTGTTATATTTAAAATGAATTTTGAGTTTTTAAATTTTTAAAAACTATACCATGCTTTAACAATTTAATAACAACTTTCAACTCTTACATAGCTTTTTCCTCATTTTATAGTCCACTTATCAAGATTTTCAAACATTTTTTTCCCACTGCAAAAATCTGCTTTGCATAAATGTGTAATTGGCTGTATTATGTGCCTGTATATACATGTGTGTATATCTGTATGGTATATATATCTTCATGTGACATTAGTCACAGTAGAATTTAATGTAAAATGTGTTCAATTTTTAGCTGAAGAAACTTTTCTAGACCGTTTTCCTATTTAAAAATATTTTCCCTTTTTTTTTCCTTCAGAGTAAGATTTAGAGCAATATTCACCAAAAAATTGTTTTTAAACAGGTATCGATTAAGGAACAAAAAGATCAATGCAACTGTAAGAACGTTTCCTCTTCTAAATAAAGTTGGTGTAAACAACACTGTCACAACCACAGCCGGAAATGTCATTTCTGTCATAGGAAGTACTGAAACAACGGGGAAAATTGTTCCAAGTACAAATGGAATTTCAAATTCAGAAAACAGTGTTTCCCAGCTAATTCCACGTAGTACTGACAGTACATTAAGAGCTCTGGAGACTGTGAAGAAAGTGGGGAAAGTTGGCACTAATGGTCAAAATGCTTCTGGGCCCTCTGCAGAGTCTGTAACTGAAAAGTAGGTATTAAGTAAAGATGATTAATAACATTCCTTTGCTTTTGGAAATGCATGAATTTTGTTTGGTTCTTTATCCTGAAGAAGAGCGGTTGGATTTTTATGCACATTGTTTCATATAGTAGGAAAAGCTCTAAACAACAAAAATTTTGAGTTCTAGACTGGATTTGCAACTGAATAGCTCTGCAAAATTAGAATGTCACTTCAACTCTTGAGTTTTATTTTCCTCTACTATGTATTATATAGGTTGGGTCAGAATTGGATTTTTCATACCTTGTTGCCTTGAACTTCTAGATTGATTCCATAGAGGTGCTTTAAAGAAACTAAGTAGAAATCTAAGCAGGTAAGAGACTGAACATCTAGCCATGTTTCAGTCTGAGCACTTTCACTGCATACTCTATAATGATACATAGTTAAGAGGGGAATCTTTGGAACCAGACTCTTTGGGCTTAAACTATGGCTTACTTTTTTCTGTTTGACTTTAAGCCAGCTATTTAATATATCTTCCTATTTCATAAAATTAGAATATTGTTCATGGGCTGAGTATGTAGCTCAGTGGTAGAGTGCTTGTATGTGTGAGGGTCTACCATTTCATATATTGGTTAGGAGAATTAAATGAGTTAATGCTGCCTTGTATTTTTAATAGTGCTTACCATTAGTAAGCACTCAAATATCTGACCTTTGTTTTATTATTGTTGTTTGTTATCAGCATAAGATTTCATTTGATAAAGAATTTTGTTCCCTTAAGAAATTTTTAAATTTTTCAGATGATTTAGAAAGTTACTTCAAGGGGCTGGGGGTTTAGCTCAGTGGCATAAGCACCTGCCTTGCAAGCAGGCAGTCATGAGTTCGATCCCTGGTAGCAATAAAAACAAAAAAGACCAAAAAAAATAAAAAAAAAAAAAAGAAAGTTACTTCAAATTCTAAAATGTCATACTTTATATACTTTGAAGATTTAAAATGTTTTTTGCTTTTTTTTTTTTTTTTGAAGTTGGGATCTCAGTATGCAGTTTAGGCTGGTTTTGAATTCACTATGTTGCTCAGGTTGGCCTCAAACTTGCAGCAGTCCTCTTTCCTTGGCCTTCCGAAAACTGGGATTATAGGTGTGGAGAGATTTAAAATCTTCGTTAAAGCATGTTCAAATTTTGTTGACCATAAATGGTCTGTCAGGATCTATTATATGTCTACTGTAATAAAAGCATTACACTAGGTACATAGTAAACTACTGATCAGTTCTTGTAATAATGGTAATATATGCTCTACTTTTGCAGTTTGATATAGTTTTCTCTGAAACAGATTTTAGAATAATGTATCAAAAACAATGTCTAGTTAACAAATGTTAGTTGTGTACTCATTCCAAATTTTGATGTGACATAGTTGAAAACACATGAGACATAACATATCTCTGCCTTTAGGGGATTTAAGATGTGATAGTTTTGGAGACAGCATTTACACAAAGTGAAGTGCGAGAGAATTTTGAGTCAAGGATGGAAAAAATTTAATATTTCTAGAAAGAATATTGGAAAAGATTTTCAGAAAATAGCATGTTATGTATTAAGTTCATTGGTAATTATATGGAATATTGAGACTGGCCTTTTAGAAATGAAGGCTTATGTTAGTAACAAGACTAAAATATGACTAAATGGATAGATTGACACCAAAGACCTTATATATGTTTAAGGGATGAATTTTAGTATAGTGGTACAACTTTTCTATCCATACAGTGTAATATTGTTTAGCTATTATAAAGGAAGTGTTATACTATTATGTGCTGCTTTACGGATGAATCTTGAAAAGATGTTAAGTAAAAGGATAGATACAAAAGGCCAGATATGATTCCATTAATGTGAAATATCCAAAATAGGCAAATCTGTAGCAAAAAGTATATTTGTGATGGAGTGGGACATGAATGTTAATAGGTACAGAGGATGATGAAAATGTTTCAGAATTAAATAGGGATGAGAATTGAAAAATCTTGTGAAGATACCAAAAACCAATGAATTGTACACCTCAAAAGGGTAGATTACAACTCAACTTTTATTTTCTTTGTGCTAGAAGTCCAACTCAGGGCCTTGTGCATGCTAAGCATATACTATACCACTGAGCTATACTTTTAGCCCTTGTATCTCAAAAAAAAAAAAGGAGTAGGAAAAAAATCAAAAGTAAATAAATCCCACAGTGATTATGTAATGTGTGCTAAATACCCGGACAACTGGTGTAGTTAATGAAAAGGAACTATATAATAGGTACATTCTCTTCCTCTAAGGGTTAATTGTCTAATATAGTCTGGGAGATAAATATGCAAACAAATATTATGTAATACATTTTGAAAAGTTCTGTAATGGAGTTGTATTGTTGGACCATAGGAAAGGGGGTAACTAACTCTTTAGGGAGATGTAAAAAAATTTCTTAGAAGTGAGCTACCTCCAATAGTATATGTAACAAAGCCAGAAGATCTTTGTGGATAGAGAAAGCAGCACAAGCAAATCATGAGACTATGAAGGGAACTGCTTAGAAGAAAAGCATAGAAACCTAGAAGTTACCTGAGATAAAACTAGTCATCTAGTTCCTTGACTGGATGACTAACTGAAAATTAACTTTGTCCATAAGTCCGAATTTTTTGGTAACTTGTATGATTTCATGAAGCCCTGAAAACTTAGCCTGTCATGAATTTCTTTTTCTTTTTTTTTTAGACTAAGGATTAAACCCAGGGCCTCTAGGCTAAGTTACTAAATTGTCCTAGCTGGTCTCAAAACTTGTAATTCTCTTGCCTCAGCTCCAGAGTGCTAGGACTATCAGCATGCATCACCACACCTTCCTTAGTCATGAATTGGGATACCTTTTTCCTGATATGTTTAAGAATTTGCAATTTCAATAAATTAATCCAAGTTTTATAACCATGTTTTTCAATGAAGGACCAGATAATCTGTATGACACACTTGTTTGTATATTCAAAAACTCCATAAACGTTAGTCATGTTAGAAAACTACGCTAGTGATTTTCCTGCTGCCTGTTAATTTATTGAAAGAATAAGTAAAGACCTAAAATACCTTTAAACTCTAAGCCAAGAAGTTTGTACCTATTGTTTTACCTATAGTTATTTAGTTATCTTTTACATTTTGATATATAATTATAGGTAGAAATAAAATACTTGCTGCTTGACTGATCTGCTGCACTAAATTTAAGACAGCCCATATATATTGTTATTCATATTTCTAGCTTTCAAAGGACTTTTCTAGTTTGAGAAAAACTCTAATCTGGTTAGGATATAATATATTGAATTTCTTACGAACAAAATCATTTTTTGAGTTACTGCATATGTAAACCTTTGTCCAAGTTTTTCAAAGAGTATAAGAAAGCCATTGGAAGATTCTCTGGAACTAATTAATTGGTTACTCATCTAAGAAAATTATTCTGTGTTTCAGGGGGGAAAAGGCATCAATTTAATGAGTGACCATTTCATTAACCTATCAGATATTTACTGAGTACTTACTGAGTTCCAGGAGCTATTTTATTTGTCAAATAGATATTTATGGAGTGCCTGTGGTGTGTCAGGTACTATTCTGTGTGGCAGGACATAAGAGTAAACAAAACAGACCCCCCAAACAGTGTTTTTTTCCTTACTTTTTACTTAATGTTCTTGGGGACTTACTGAACGTGTGTGTGTGTGTGGTTTTGTTTTTTGGGGGGGGGGGGTTGTTTGTTTTGTAATTCCCAGTAGGAAAAGTCTTTGTTGAAAGAATGGGGCAAAAGAATCATCTTAATGCCTAGAATTTGTTTTCATTTCTTGTTGCTCATACTGGTATATGAAATCTATTACTATGATCTTGTGAATTAGTATATGTAATGTGGCAGTGAAATTCTTTGCCTTTGTTGTCACAATAGAAATGTCATGGTTTCACTATGTAATTTATGAAAAATGGGAGGTAGTGATTTATCTTTTGACTTTTGTTAAATTTTCTTTCCAGTAAAATTGGTTCTCCACCCAAGACTCCTGTAAGTAACATAGCTGCTACCTCAGCTGGGCCCTCTAATGTTGGAACAGAACTGAATTCTGTGCCTCCAAAATCCAGCCCATTTCTAACTAGAGTACCAGTATATCCTCAGCATTCAGAAAACATTCAGTATTTTCAAGATCCAAGGACTCAATTGCCCTTTGAAATTCCACAGTATCCACAGACAGGTAAGTAATTTTCTTTTCTAAAAAAGAAAAACTATAATCTAAAGCTGACGTTGTTTCCCTTAGATAAATGAGGGAGTCATTTTTATATATATCTAAAATGTCTACAGTAAAAAGTTAACCATTTTGACTATATAAACTATAAGTCTTTTTACTTCCCTAAGAATCCATGATTTTAATACCAGTTTTTTATTCACATGTGTTTCTTGTGTATACATGGGAGCACAAAGTGATAGGGAATGTAAAGGGCTGATTAGAACATGAGATTGTATATCATCTTCTTACAAGAACAATAAAATTAAGGAAGTGACAAGACAAAGGAAAAGGACTTTGAAATACCTAGGGTACCAAACTGTAAGAAACTAAATAAATGGGAAAACTACTGAGTAAAAATAAAGTTTGTGTGGTGCCCTCTAAGGGCTGATAAGGATCTAAATTTCTGTGTTAATTTGCTTCTGTTCTTCTAATGAACGGAGATTACAAAGGTTTTGTCCTGCATTTAGGCAAATACAAAGGTGTAGAGTTTTTTCTTATTTTTGCTTCTTTCTACTTCAGAATAATCCTTAAGCCAAACTGGTATATTCTGACATAGTCTTGCCATCCTGTTGTGTCTTTCTGACTGTTCTATTTCCTTTGTTTCCTTCCCTCTAATAACTGATTAATAAAATATTACAGTTTTCCACACTATTGGGGTACCTGGTATACACATACATTGCATAATATTTAAACATATCTCTCTTTTCTAACATCAATCATTTCTTTATAGTGAAAAACATTCGGAATTCTTTTAGTTTTTTGTTTTTTGGTTTTTTTTTTGTCTTTTTCCTTTTTATCGGTACCAGGGATCAAACTCACGACTGCCTGCTTGCAAGACAGGCGCTTATGCCGCTGAGCTAAATCGCAAGCCCCTCTTTTAGCTTTTTGAAATTCATAAAGTATGTAATTATCTGTAGTCATCCTAAATGGGAATACATATGTCTTTTTCACATACTGATTCTTTTCTTTTGACTATGTATGCATAGTGGAATTGCTGGATCATATGGTAGTGCTGTTTTTATCTTTAAGGAACCTCCTTACTGTTTTCCTGTATATCCTTGTCAGCACTGTATATACTTTGATAATAGCTATCATTCTTATTGGAATGAGATACCTCATTTTGACTTTTACCTTATATTTTCTTGATTCATTAATACTGAACATTTTCTTATATATGTATTGGCCATTTGTGTGTCTTTTTTTTTTTTTTAAACAGTACTGAGAATTGAATCCAGGGTCTTCACAATGAGCTATATCCCCAGCCTTTTATTTTTATTTTGAGACAGGGTCCTTAAGTTTCCCAGGCTGGCCTAAAACCTCTGATCTTTTTGCCTTAGCCTTCCAGAGTGCTGAGATTACAAGAATATGCCATGATGCCTGGTCTTGGGTGCCTTCTTTTGATTGTGTGTCTGTGTATGTAATTTTTTTGTGGTGGGACTTGAACCCAGAGACTTGCAATAAACTACATCCCCAGTCCTTTGGTTTTTATCTTTGTTTTAAATTTTGAGACAGGGTTTCACTAAGTTCCCCAGGCTGGCCTTGAACTTGATCCTCTTGCCTCATCTTGAGATTACAGCCATGTACCACTTTGCTAGCTTGCTTTCATTTCTAATTGGGTGGTTTCGTTGCTGTTCAGATTTAGTTCTAGACTTATTCATAGTCTAGATATTAGCCTCATGTGTTGTTTGCCCATTACATCTTAGGACAATATATTGTATGTATATCATATGCAATATATATAATTTTTTCTCACATTCTATAGGCTGTCTTTGCATTCTTGATTGTTTTCTTTGCTGTGTGGATGCTTTTAAGTTTGATGCGGTCCGAGTTGTCTGATTTGCCATTGTTCCTTGGGGTCTTGTCAGAAAATCCTTTTACATTCCTGTGTCCTGTAGTATTTACCATTTTCTTCTATTAATTTTTACTTTCAATCTTAAAAAGTCTTTAATTCTTGACTTGAATTGACTTTTACCTGGCTAGAGATAGAAGACTAAGTATTACGATTCTTCATGCAAATATTGAGATGCTATTAGTTTTATAGTTATACTAAGAATCAAGTAAGAAGTCCATGAAATTACCTTTGGGAGTTCTGTAAATGCCCAGCATGGTATGCAGAATAGATTGGTTTTATATGCTTGCATACAATTTTCAAAAGCAAGTTAGCAACTTACAGGTTTTGAAAGTGATCTTTAACCTCTGCTCCCAAAATGGTTAATAAGAATTAGTAATGTAACTTTCTGCAATATTTAATCCTAGCAGTAGATGCCTTAAAAGAAAATTTCCTAGACATCTCTTAATAATTCTGCCGTGAGTTTTTAAGAAACAGTTTAATAAAATATTGACTGTTAAGCATTTTTATGTAATGGTATCTTGAAAATACATAGGTTCTCTATAAAGATCATTGCATATATTTTCTCACATTAAAGTCTATCTTAGATTTAAACCAATATAAAATGTTGGATTTTACTACGATTACATTAAATATTCCTCTTTCCAATTTTCAAGGATACTACCCACCACCTCCAACGGTACCAGCTGGTGTGGCTCCCTGTGTTCCTCGCTTTGTGAGGTCCAATAATGTTCCAGAGTCCTCTCTCCCACCTGCTTCCATGCCATATGCTGATCATTACAGTACATTTTCCCCTCGAGATCGAATGAATTCTTCTCCTTACCAACCTCCTCCTCCGCAGCAGTATGGACCAGTTCCCCCAGTACCTTCTGGAATGTATGCTCCTGTGTACGACAGCAGGCGCATCTGGCGCCCACCCATGTATCAACGAGATGACATTATTAGAAGCAATTCTTTACCTCCAATGGATGTGATGCATTCATCTGTCTATCAGACGTCTTTGCGGGAAAGATATAACTCATTAGATGGATATTATTCAGTGGCTTGTCAGCCACCAAGTGAACCAAGGACGACTGTGCCTTTACCAAGGGTAAGTGGGAATAGAAATAGAAATGCTACTGTAACATAGTGGTTAAGAACCCTATGTATGCTGAGCGTGGTGGCTCATGCTTGTAATCCCAGCACTCAGGAGGCTGAGGCAGGAGGATCGTTGTGAGTTCGAGATTAGCCTGGGCTACAAAGTGAGCTCAAGGTCAGCCTGAACTGCATAGCGCGAGACCCTGTCTCAAAAAAGACAAAAAAAAAAATGCAGACTCCCAGCTCTTCCTGCTGGTACTTGTGGGACCTAATAAAAGTTACTTAATCTCCCCATTCCTCAGTTTTTTCATTTTGTACATAATTACCAAGCTGTAGTAAGAATTAAATTAGAAGCACAAAGTTCTTAGAACAGGACTTGGTGTATATTAATGCTCAGTAAATGTTATATTTGAAAGGTAACTGATGGACAGGTAAAAAGAAATCTCAAAAATACAACGACAGAGCTGGGCTTGGTGATATATGCCTGTAATTCCAGCACTCAGGAGACTGAGGCAAGAGGATCATTGTGAGTTCAAGACCAACCTAGGTTACAAAGTGAGTTCAAGGCCATCCCAAGCTGCATAGCAAGACCCTGTCTTTAAATAAATATAAAAGAAGGCCTTTTTTTCAGTATCCTATAATATACAAGGACTTTTCTAAACTAGAAAAATGTTTAGATTTTTACCTACTATCATTGATGTGCATAAATATTAACCCTTTTGGTTTAAGTATATGGAATACATTCTGTTGACTTCTTGCTGAGTGATTTTGAGTTTTGTCTCAACAATATAAAAATGTATTTCAGACTGTTTTCACAGAGCATACTTATATGTATTCACCACTTCCTAGATGATGAAGATTGTTTCTTTTATCCCTAGGAACCTTGTGGTCATTTGAAGACCAGCTGCGAGGAACAGATAAGAAGGAAGCCAGACCAGTGGGCACAGTACCACACTCAGAAAGCACCTGTCTCTTCAACTCTCCCTGTGGCAACACAGTCTCCAACACCACCTTCTCCTCTATTTAGTGTAGACTTCCGTTCAGATGTAAGAAAGGTTTTAACCACTTGATGTGCAGGACTAGGTCAAACAATTGACCCCAGATTATTTATTCAAACCAGGGTTAGATAATTTGTATATTTTGCAGTGGTTTGGTATATAGTTTTTTGGTTTGTTTGTTTTTGAGACAGGGTCTCACTGTGTAGCTCAGGCTGGCCTGAAACTCGCAGTGATCCTTCTGCGTCAGCCTCCTAAGTTCTGAGAGTACAAGCATGTGCCACCATACCTGGTTTTTGTGTATAGCTAGATTTAGTTCCCTATGGCTAGTATAAAGACCATTAGGCACAGTGTTTTACTAAGAATTTAAAATCTTCTCAGCTCTATAGTTGGTATTTTATAGTATTCCTTTTTTGTTCTTACTGTTGTTGCTCTTATTGTTGTTTAGCACTGGCTGTCAAACCATACTCTTGCACAGTCTTTTTTTTTTTTTTCTTCCTCTCGGTACCAGGGATTGAACTCAACAACACTGCACTTACCAGGCAAGTGCTTGAGTCACTGAGCTAAATCCCTGGCCCCTTCTTTTTGATTTTTTTGAGACAAGGTTTCCCTGTGTAGTCCAGGCTGGCCTCAAATTCACTGCAGTCCTCCTGCCTCAGTGCTGGGTGATTACAAGCACGCACTATGATGCACAGCTAACCTTGTACACATTTAAGTACATGTACTGAGATATACTTTGAACCTCAGTTGTTGCATCTTTAGTAAAGGCCTGGGCTCAGAACCTACCACTACAAAAAACCTCAGATATATATCTAATATTTAATGAATACCTACTCATGCCAAGCATGTGCTCAGTGTTTATATATAACACTTTTATTTAAGTCTCACAAAAACCTTAGATGTTTTAGAGGATAAGTATTATTCATATTTTATAGATTAGGAATTTTAATAATTTTCCCCAGACCTCTCAGTCTGCAGGTAACTGGGATTTGAACCCTAGTTTATCTGATATACTTACTCTCCTGTATCACAAGAGATGCAAAAATGCCTATTGTGTTATTTCTACCATTTACATCATGTTAAGTATTGTTCTTGGCACTACAAAACAAGTTTTTGTGCAAGGGTGATGTCGGTTTAGCCAGGTGTTTTTAGTACTGTTTCGGTTTGGCTTAGGTTTTATGAGACAGGGTCTTGCCATGTAGCCCACGCTCACCTCAAACTCCTAATCCTTCTCTCAGCCTCTAAATGTTGGGGTTAGAGGCATGTGCCTCCATGCCAAGCTAGTATTGTTATAGTTAAAGAAAAATCGTTTTTTTTTTTTTTTTTTTCATTTATCCTACTTTCTTCCTCAGGGTCAGACATTAAAAATATTTTAATCTTTTAAATATGGCAAATTTCAAACATTTGCAAACATAGAACAGTATAATAAACTTTGTGTACCTACCATTACCCACTGCCCAGTTTCTATTTGGCCAGACTTGTTTCCTTTTCATATTCCTTCTTCCCATAGGATTATTTTGAAATCCTATAAATCATACTTTTTTCATCCATAAATATTTCAACAAAGTGTTAAAATTTGTAAAGTGTATTCAGGTTCATTTCCCTCAAAGCAGATAGACACCTGGCAGAGTGACAACTGTCATTTGCTTATTAGAAAAGTTTATTTTTATTGTTCTGTGCTATGCTTTAGAAAACAAGTGATTCCTTAAGATTCACATTTGCTATCAGCTATCAATATGAATTGGAAGAGTTTTGGCCTTGAATTTTCTTGTCTGTATACCTGATAAACTAGACTTAATGATTCTCACAACTTTATATTTTTGCCACATAGTATTGAGTACAGTCCCTTTAAAATTTATTTGACTTCCCTTTCTAGCTCTAGAAAAAACTTTGAATTCCTTTTCTGGATTTAATACTGCATGTTTTATCACTTATGTTCCCTTATGATTATAGTTTTTTTTTTTCTCAAGAAAATCATAAACTTCTAGGGCATGATCTCTATGTGTACTATGTAATTGGTGTGTGGGTTTTTTTATTTTTTGCTTTTTTCACTTGTTTAGAGCACAGTACATTGGTACCTTGGTTCATGAACTTAATTCTTCATGAATTGGATGAGAAATATATCAAATTAAATTGTTAAATTCATTGTTGACCTTATAGGAAATTTGATTGATTTCTGGTCCAATTCAGTTTGTGACCAGGGTCATGGGAAGAACTAAGTTTGTGAACTGAAATACCACTGTACCATGTTAGCAGCATGTGATAAACACTTGTTGATTCGTTTGATAGTATCAGTCAGGAATTCCTTATAAGATATAAAGGAAAAAGAGACAGCATGCAGTTTTTTCTAGAAATACTATTTGTTGCTTATAATTTTTTATATTACTGAGAGAATATACGTTCTTTAATTTACAGTTATTTTATATTAGCTACCAGCTTGTAAAAAAGTTTCATACTAATTGCCTTTTTTATTTTTTAAATTAGTTCTCTGAGAGTATGAGTGGTACAAAATTTGAAGAAGATCATCTTTCCCATTATTCTCCCTGGTCTTGTGGCACCATAGGCTCCTGTATAAATGCCATCGATTCAGAGCCCAAAGATGTAATCGCTAATTCAAATGCTGTGTTAATGGTATGATTTTTCTGGTTGAAAATGGGGGAAATTATGCATGTTGGCTCATTTTACAATGAAAGCTTTCATCTTTGTATTATTTCTGAATGACTCACCTATAAGCAGGAGTGTTATACTTTGAGAAGTCTGAAATAAATAGCATTTAATGTTAAAGTATTTGAGTATAGCTTGATGATTTAATTAGTTTCTGGATTATCATTGAGATATAGAGCTAGTTGAAATTTAACGGAAGAATCCATCTGTTTATCCTTTTATCAGTGAAATGAATCTAAGCTACATACTGGCTTTTTATGTTGTTTGTTTTTGTTTTTGTTTTTTGAAATAGGGACTCACAAAGTTACCCACCCAGGGCTTGAACTTGAGATCCTTGTGCCTCAGCCTCCCAGAGTGCTAAGATTATAGACAGACACCATGATATCTATTACATGTCTTTTGATAACATTGCACTTGGATTACGAGCTCAAATAATTATCAACCGTGCTTTTATTGGTATCATTTGGTTTATACAGGATCTGGACAGTGGAGATGTTAAGAGAAGAGTGCATTTATTTGAAACTCAAAGGAGGACAAAAGAAGAAGACCCAATAATTCCCTTTAGCGATGGACCCATCATCTCAAAATGGGGTGCAATTTCCCGATCTTCTCGTACAGGTTACCATACTACGGATCCTGTCCAGGCCACTGCTTCCCAAGGAAGTGCAACTAAGCCCATCAGTGTATCAGGTATTCTATTTTAACTAAGACTTACCCTGTTATTTTATGCATTGTGTTGTTTATTTCCCAACCTGTGCAATAGGGAACATTTTCCCTTTAAGGACCACAGCAAACTCAGAATTACATAGTGTAATCAGGATTACATGGCTAGTGCGATAAAAAACAGAATTTGTTTTAAAAAGTGTACATTCACTTCTATATACTGTTATTTCACTTTTCTAATGATTACTTCTTTTGTTTATCTGTAGATTATGTCCCATATGTTAATGCTGTTGATTCAAGGTGGAGTTCGTATGGCAGTGAGGCCACATCATCAGCACACTATATTGAACGGTAACATTACTCTTAATTCTTTAGGATTTCCTACTCTCAGACTTGTATACATCCTTAGGATATAAAATCTACTTTAAGTTGTCCATGAAATATGATTTGAGTTGTGTGACAAATATCTGGAAAGACTTTTTCCATTTGGAATGAGGACTGAGATTTTTAGGATTGATGTTTGCATATAGTCATTACTACTTTAGTTACTTCATTTATTTCATTTTTATTATAATAACCATATTTTTTCTTTAAAGTGACAGATTCATTGTTACTGATCTGTCTGGTCATAGAAAGCATTCCAGTACTGGAGACCTTTTGAGCATTGAACTTCAGCAGGTGAGCTTGTTGTAACATAACTTGGATTTTTTGAAAAAATAGAATGGCAGTTGGAAGCTAAATGTGCTTGTTTTCCTTTCTTCTGTAGGCCAAGAGTAACTCATTACTTCTACAGAGGGAGGCAAATGCTCTAGCCATGCAACAGAAGTGGAATTCCCTGGATGAAGGCCGTCACCTTACCTTAAATCTTCTAAGTAAGGAAATTGAACTGAGAAATGGAGAGGTAAAGTTTCTGAGCCCCCTAGGTCCATGCTTAATGTGTTTGCTTTCTGCTGGTGCATGTCCATTGATATCATTAACTAGTCCATTTTGCAGTGCCTTTTTTCTGATGGATGATTGACTGCTTTTAAAATTTACAGTAGTAGGGGTCAGGGATTTAGCTCAGTGGCTCACCTGCTTGCCTTGGGAAGCACAAGGTCATGAGTTCAATCCCTGATACCAAAATAAATAAATAAAATTTAAAGTAGCATATTAGTTGTTTTTTGTTTTGTTTTTGTTTGTTTGGGTTTTGATTTGTTTTGTTTTTTGGGGGTCAAACTCACCACTGCGCACTTGCCAGGCAGGCACTTACATCACTGAGCTAAATCTCCAGCCCTTTTTCTTTTTTTAACTTTTTATCAGTACTGGGGATTGAACTCACGACCACCTGCTTGCAAGGCAGGTGCTTACGCTGTGAGCTAAATCCCTAGCCCCCTTTTTTTTGTTGTTGTTTTTTGAGACAAGGTCTTGCTATGTTGTTCAGATTAGCCTTGAGCTCACTGTATAGTCCACGCTGACCTTGAACTCACTGCTGTCCTCCTGCCTCAGACTCTCAAGTTAATAGTAGCATAATATTATAGTCCTAGGATTTGAGATTCCTGTTTCAATTTAAAAGGGAGGCCCGAAGTTACTAAATCAGTATTTTTCTTTTTTTAAAAGTTTTAAAATGTTTTTGGTGGTTTATTTCATTTTTTTTTAGACAAGGTCTCACTGTGTAGTTCAGACTGACCTTGAACTCACTGTGTAGCCCAGCCTGGTCTCAAAACTTGTAGCAATCCTTCGGCCTTAGCCTCCTGAGTATTAAGATTACACATGTGTACCATTACATCCAGCAAAATCGATTTTTTTCTTATTTACAGAGTGATTACACAGAAGATGCAGCAGATACTAAGCCTGATAGAGATATTGAGTTAGAGCTTTCAGCACTTGATACTGATGAACCTGATGGACAAAGTGAACAAATTGAAGTAAGTTCCACAGTTAGACAAGTAAAAACTTTCTTCCATTGAAAATTAAATAATACAAAATGCTTTCATACTGAAAGATAATATTGTGTATTTTTAGGAGATCTTGGACATACAACTTGGTATTAGCGCTCAAAACGAGCAGTTACTAAATGGATCTGCAGTGGAAAATGGGCATCCAGCTCAACAGCATCAGAAAGAGCCATTAAAACAACAGAGACAGAGTTTAGGTGAAGACCATGTGATTCTGTGAGTGTTAGACAGAAAATTTATAACCAGTGGGATAGGGCGTGAATAGTTAAAGAAAAACAGATACTGTGTCATACTCATTTTTCACTTTATTCTGTGAGAAGAAAGCCATTCTTTCTAGGGCAGTGTTTTGGCCAGTGAAAATCCTGAGTCTCTTGTATGCTAAGCATGCACTCTACCTTTGAGCTACATGTCTTCTTTTTTAAAATTTTATTTTGAGACGGGATCTTGCTGAGTTGCCTAGGCTTAACTGAATTTGTGATCCTCTTCTTCAGCCTCTCAGGTAGATGGGATTACCACCACATAAGGTTTACAAAGCAATCATTTTAGTAACTTGAAACTTGCTTTTTGTATTGGGATAAAAGTTAGCATATATTTTAGCACCAGGTTATACTTCAGTTTGGCCAAACTTCTAGACTATAAAACAGAGAATTAAAACCTAGGTTGTTTGTTGTTTTAAAAACCGTACTAAGATTTTCTTGAGTGTAATACTGTCATTTTTTATAATTACCGTCAAAAATAATGGGTTTAATCCTGAACTTGATAATTTGATTGGTCTTAAATTAGCCAATATTTTAAGTTTTTCTTATAATTTTTTTTAAATGGGACCTTTTAAACTAGCTTTCAACACTTTTTATTGATAAAAACATGCTTTTGCTTCGGCCTTTTAAAATTTAATACAGTTTTCATTAAACTTATATAGTTATTCTTCAGTTCTCACTAAAAAACTAATTGTTTTTCTTTGTCATTTATTTTCTCTCAGGGAGGAGCAAAAACCAATTCTACCGGTAACTTCTTGCTTTAGTCAGTCACTCCCTGTGTCTGTGAGCAATTCAAGTTGCCTCCCCATCACCACGTCTGTCAGTGTTGGCAACCTCATTCTGAAAACTCATGTTATGTCTGAAGATAAAAATGACTTTTTAAAACCTGTTGCAAATGGGAAGATGGTTAACAGCTGAAAAGAGATTCATCTTTCAAATTTGTGACCACACCATGGAAGCATTTACACTAGCTTTTTATATATATAATATATATTATATAATGTATATTTTTTTTAAAAAAAGATATTACGGGGGGCATCCATTTCCTGTGGACTCTTTGATACTTCGAGCCCTCTTGCATTAGCATTATGAAAAAAAAAGATTTACTTTACTAGGGTAACATGTTCACTTTCCAGAAGTGATTGGAATTTGGACAACATTTAACTTAAGCTTCAAGCAGCTTTTTATGAGTTTGTAGCAATCCGGTGCAGTAACTGAGCCATTTCCTATTTTAAATGGCTTCTATAGAAAATTAACAACTCAGTTATTAAACTAGCAGGATCCTACAATGATACATCTAGTGAAAGTAGACTTAATTAACTTATTTATTTCTATTTTATGTTTCACTGAGAGAAATTTCCATCTCATTCCAGCTGCTTTATTTATCATTTTCATGGGACTTTGCATGGATTTTTTCTTTCTTTCTTTTTTTTTTTTTTTAAATTTTGAAGAGTGGAGTTAGATATTCTTACCATAGAGTTTTACAGGGTTGTTATATACTAGCTTTCTTTACTGCATTATATGTAGGAGTGTGGTGCAGTGCTTTTATCTGTAGCATTTACGTTTTTTTTTTTTTTTTTTTACATTTTTCAAGAATAGTTTCTGCTTTGTTAATATTTATACACAGGCTACTTGTTGAAGTAATTAATTAAAAATATAACCAAGTGCCTAAGTCTTTCAGCTGATGTACTAGATATTAAATTCTCCTAAGTTATGCAGAATCGTTTTTACAATTTTGATAAATTATGCACTAATGTAATGGCAGTTTTTTAAAAAATGCAGATTTAAGCCTGTACATTATAGAATCTGATGACTTGGCAAAAGAATCAGGTGCTTTCAGCTTTCTTGAGAAAACCCTGTATGTAGCGTTTGCACTGACTAACAAGATGGTATTGCTGGGTTTTTAATTTAAACTAATTAATTTGGATGTGGATGTTCATTGCATTATCTTGGTTAACTATTGTTTATTGTTACTTCATGTTGGGGTTTAATTTTCCTTGTTTTCTGACTGGTAGGTTGATAAGACTATGAACCATGTTATAGTGGAACATTGGCTAACATTTACTCATATTTTAGAACATGAATAGTACCTGCCCTGGCATAATGTGACTGAAATTGTTTTACTTGGCATCTAAAAGTATGCAGTATGTTCAACCAGCCATGCCCCAGATTTGTGGGAGAAATTTTATTGGAACCGAAATTTCAGTCAACATTTAAAAACAAAAGCTGGGCATTTTTTTCCAGGTGACCTTACCTATAGTTAGTCTTTTTGTTTTTCTTCCATTTCTTTAAGATTAGTTTGACTTTTATTATTTTTTTAATTAACTTCTGTGAAGTTGTTTACTCTGAAAATTGTACTGGAATATTTTAAGCCAAGCTGATCTTTCACCAGGTGTACTGTATGTAAGGGCTTTTCCTGCTAGCAAGATGCTTAAACAGGATCATGTTATTGGTCGTCTGAGCTATTTAGTTATTTTACAAAACCACAGCATTGTATCAGATAAGATTTTGATAAAAGTTTTGTGCACATTTCCAGGGGCGGGAGGGTTGACATTTCCCTGAAATTTCTTGATCAGAAGGCGTAAATACTGGTGTTTGATACCTGTCTTAATGAACATGCTCATAAGGTGACTGATAAGTTGTAAATATACCTGAGAAACAAAGGGGTAGTTTTGATATTCTGGTGTCAGTATGGAAGATCTTACACATTTATTTAATACTCAAATGTATGAAGATGTTTGTTTGTAGCATAACAGCACAGTAGCCTTGACTTAGTTTTCTTTGGTTAGTACTGTACCTTTTTGCCATGGCCAGTGCGCCTCATCCTACAAAGGACATTTTATTTATTTCACTCTGTAACCTGAAGTGAATAGGAACAAGAGTTTTAAACCATGTTACATTAACTTATTTCTGACATTATAAATTAGCCTAGGATATTACAGGAACATGATTGTTATATAATTTATATCAGAACCTTTCTATAAATATGTACTTACTACATTTTGAATGCTTCCAATGTACTTTATTTGCTGTTTGTAATTCCAAAAAGGATATGCAAACCAGTCTGTCTATTTCATGGATATTTAATAGTGAGATCTTCCATGTTGAAGGTAATGTATTTTTTTTTAAGATTTTAAAATTGCTATTTTGTTACAAAATAGAGACCTATTAACAGTTCGAGAGCTCCTTATGTGCCCTCAGGGAAAGAACCCTCTGTGCAACAGAACTACACAAAACATCTTCAGCACGTTCTGAGGGTGAATATATACTACATAAATTGATCTTGTGTATTTAACCTTATCTTTTTAATTTTAAAATTGAAATTTTGAAACTTGGTTGTGCTCTGCTGGAGGGGGTTGGGAAAAACTGCTTAGGTGTTTGCCTACTTGTCCAGTAAATTACATTTGCATCAGTGTATGTATATACCTGCCAACCTTATTGATATGTCTCAGAATATTTATATTAAAATAATGCTTGTCTTGCAGCAGGTGATCCCATTAAATAGTAACTCCCTATTCTTACAAAATCCCACTCTTTTTCACTAACAACATAGGAACTGATTCTGTGTTGACATTACTCTGTATTGCATCTTTCTCTGTGGTGGCCACCTATTGTCTGTCATGGTGGGTGTTAATGTGAAATAAAACTATTGGTTCTCTCTGCCACTTCAGAAGAAAGGCTAGTTCGTCTGATCCTTCTTCAAAGTGGTGTCTACTGATGTCATAGAGGTAAATCATACAAATCAGACCTAGAAAGTGGCTTCTTAACATTGGGGCAGTTATCATTTTACCTTTTCACCAACACATTGTGATGTAAACAATTGAAATCAAAGGCTACATAGCAAAAAGAGAGGAAATTTGTAATGCTAGTAATGAAAATTGCATATGTTGCCAGTGGTCTAATCAGGAAAATGCTGTCTGAGATTTGGAAATCCGGAGAGGTTTTTTTTTTTAAGTCCCATTCCTAGGACCATCTGCCTTGCTTAGATGCTATGGATATAGTATCTATGGTTTGTTTTTGTTTTTGTTTTGTGATCTCATTGCATTTTATGAATTCTGAGAAAGTTAGATACATACATCTTCTGGTTGATACGAGAACAAATGAGATTCCTTTGCCTTTGCTGACATGAGTACTTTCAGTGCCATACAATGAACCAGTATCATACATGAAAAGTTGTGCATTATAATTTTCAAGAGAAAGAAGTTCATTTTGATGAGTTACTGATTACACACACACACACACACACACACACTCCCTATCCTGGTGGCTAATAAGAGAATAGTAAATGAAACCTCTCATTCTAGCACTGAAATTTCCATTTGTATAGATCTAGTTACTTTCACTCAAATTTCAAGTCAATGTGAAGTATATAAAGTACATCCCAATTTTGTATACTGCCTTGAGAAAATTAAAAAATGCACAGTGATTTGAGGAATTTTTAATGGGATCCCTTAAACATTAGAAAAATGGCTTTAAAACCATCTACCTTTTACATTTTAGATTCTAAAGCTCATTTTTTCTCATTAATGGGCAGGTTTTGTGATTTAGTATGCAAATTCAAAGTTGAGTATTTCTTCTCTAGCTTTTTGAGATCTTTTCTGAGCAGACCCTCACCAATACTGGCAACTAATCATTAAAGGGAAAAGTTAAATTCCAACTGTGCTGAAAGAACTTTCCTTGTGTTTAGTGAATGAAGAGTGTTGATGGGATCACTTACTGTAACTCCTTCTTTGTAAGGACCCCTTCTGCAAGCAGAACACAAATGAACATGCTCTAGGAGTATATCATTTTCTGGGTAAATTGAAAAAGTTTGCTAGTAAACTCCTTGGTACTAGCAGTTTCTTTGTATCCCTTTGCTGGCAAGGGAGTACAAGGAGTCAAGACCACAGATCAGAAAACCCCACATTTGAGTGGAGACTTATTTTTACTCCAAGAGCAGTTATTCCCCCAAGTCTAAAACTGGCAGTCTTGTGTTTTGTTTTGTTTTTTTTACATAAAATTTTTAAAATATCCCCAAACCAGTGGAAAACAGACACTGGCTGCACTTAGTACTGCCAAAAGCCAAGGTCATTTGCACATATTCCATCAATCTATGAAGAATTAGGCCTCACTCTGTAACCCAAGGCATGGAAGTGCATGCATCCTCTTCGCTGGGCAAACGGTTATACTGTAGTTGTGATACAACACATGTGGCTTCTATTTGTACTGCACATATCCACTGTACAGCCACTTGGGAGTATCGTGGTTAGCTTGCAGCAACTGCTGTCCGCATTTATACTGTTTATTGCATATTCTTTTCCCTGGAAGTGAAAGAGAAATGTTCTTCTTGTTGCATTGATTACACTTTATAAATTTGCTTAGCTGGAAAGTTTGGGAAAAGAGGCCTGTTTGTCAATTGTACAACCGATTGTGAAGCTCTAGTGTGAATATTTTTACGTCTGTATTAGACATTTTCTTTGCAAATCTATTGTTCGATTGAAATGTAAATGAAATTAAAGATGGTGTACACCCATCATGTAAAAAGCAGGCACCATCTCTAAGATGGATTTAATGCTCATTTTTAAGGCATATACTCAGCTTCTATTTAAAACTATAATTTAAAATAATTCTGTACAATGAAGTGGGGAATATATATGGGAATAAATTCTATTCCATTTATTTCAATTTGAATTTCCAAATTGTAATGTTTCCCTTTGTGCTATAGGAATAGGATTAAATGGGGGAAGGCTAGGACTTGTAAGGCCTGTATATGGGGGGAGGGCAGAGATGGAACAATGAGGGTTGTGATGATAGTGAATAGCAAAGAGTGAATTCTGTGTGTTTTTGCTGTAGCACTGAAGTGAAGAGATATTAGCTTTGGCTGTTCACAAAATAGAGCATCATGATTTTCGGTGTTTGAGAGAAAATTGATGGAAAGAGTTTGCAGTACTTGACATGTATTTGCATGCACAAAATAAAATTATTTGTCCACCTTAAAAGTTGTTTAGTGTCAATATTAAGCTTATGACATATCTTAGTTGCCTTGCTTTTCTTGGGTTTATTTTTTGTTTTGTTGTGGGAGTTTTCTTTTTTAGCTTAACAGGGTACACTTTATCATCTGCCTCGTCCATGTACCATTGGGAATGGTCCGAAATAAATGAATAGACATACAGAGACTGAAATATTCCTTAATTTTGTCACTTCAGTGAGAGACAAAAATGTAGATAATACTGAGTTTGCAGTCTAGAGGGAGAAGATAAGACAGATACAAAAATAATACAAAGCCATATGCTATTTAAGTATGAGACAGTTCTGTGGACCTCAGTATAACAGTTTGGCCTGAGTGAATCTAGACACCAGTTTCACTATGCCTTATGTAGTTTTGTTTGTGCACTGATGTATTTTAAGCCCTTGTCCTGGGTCATAAGAGTTAAAGGCCTATGAAACACAAACCTTTTCTTAGAAACTCATAGTGTAGAAAATAGGAAAGACAAATTTGAGTAGTTCAGAGACCTGCATGTAATTTCCAAAGGGAAATTACAAAGCTGGTGGTAGTTGTAAGGCAGGGATGGTGCTTCTCTCTGTGAGATGAACTTGATTAAATTTTGTAGGCAAATAACATTACACCAAGTAGAGATAAGTAAGTATTCTAAGCACCTATTCTATGTTCACAGCAACCCATTTGATCTTAATTAAAATTATCTTTCATTATAGTTTTATATTTTATAAAGTATAATTTTTTATATTATAAGTTATATTTTACATTTTATAGAGTTTTATACTTCCTATTTTATATTTGAAATATTATGTAACTCAACAGAACTTCAGGACCAGAAGACAGTGGAGTCAGAATTCTGATTCATATCTGCCCTCTGTGCCTCTCAAAGATGTAGCAATGGTGATTGTATTTTGTTTTAGCATAAGTGTTATAATGGAGTTTAAAGAACTGAGTAGCAAAACAAATAGCTAACTCTTAAAGAGTATTACGTGTTCCAGACACAGTTCTGAGTGTGGTAAATGTAGAACCATTATTGTCACCATTTGCAGACAAAACTGAGTCAGAGACCTAAAGAGTTGGCCCAAGGTTACACATCCAGACGAGATGTTTTTGAAGGACATTTAATACAATACTATAGAAGTTAGATAATTTGAATATTTTGGAATTTTGAAAAGATCACTGGCAATGGTATGAAAGGTGAAACAAGTTAAACTAACAGGTAGGTCAGCAGTATATGCAAATATTTACAGCACGGCCAAGCAGAAATAAAGAAAAAGATAATTTTGAAAAGTAAGAGTGATGATTTATTGTATAAAAAGGACGTCAGATATTTACATATTACAGTGAATTAAAATTGACTTAAAAGGACAGGCCCTCCTGCTGAGAACAGACCAATAATTGTCAAATTAATCTTGTATAAACCTTGGAGTGAATTGGGATCAGCAAGAACCATGAATAGGTGATTCAGGCAGAAGAGAAATTTAAGAAAATGAATATCCAGTAAGATTTTATTTCATAGTTAATAAAGTTAATACCTATTGAAATAATTATGTACTTTAATAGAAGATCTTAAATATCAATAGATAGCTTCATGACTAGGTCTCATTTTTGGGTCTTTCAAAGCTCACCTTCTGAATCCAGTGGAAAATAATAAGGGATACAATTGGAATAGAGATTTAAGCCCAAGAGACGAGATCGACTAAGTATTTTTTTAAATAACTACAGATTCAAAGGGAGTAGCCAAAAGCAGTCCCAGGCATGATGGCACACACCTATAATCTAGCATTTGGCAGAGCTGAGGCCAAACAAGATACTACTATTGGAGAAACTATGAAGGTTACATGGTCCTCTGTTAACTGTCTCAGAAATACAGAGGGCCATGTAACCTTCATAGTTTCTCCAATAGTATCTTAAATATAACATCAAAAACAGGAAACTTAAGTACACAATCCACAGACCTAATTTAGTTCTTACCAGCTTCACATACATTTTGTGCACACACTCATGCACTTTGTGTGTGTGTTTTACTTTTTTTTTTTTAATCGGTACTGAGGATTGAACTCACCACCATGCGCTTGCAAGGCAGGTGCTTATGCTGCTGAGCTAAGTCCCCAGACGTGTGTATGTGTGTTTATATACAATTTTCTCACATGTGGAACCACCATTACCAGTATAACAGCAGTGTTCCCTTTCCTTGCGGATTCCTCACTATACCCCTTTATATTTAAAAATCTGTTTTCCTTGCTTAACTCCCCATACTCATCCCTAAATTCTGACAACCATTAATAAGTTCACCTCTGTAATTTTGTTTTTTGAAAATGTTATACCCATATTCCTCATTTAATGACAGTTACATTCTGGTGACTGGCTCATTAGTTGAATGAGGAATTGTGTATACTAGTATGTACAATATTCAAAACAAATGGTCAAAGGAAACTCCAATTTGATGACTTTGCTTTATTTGCAGAACTAACCTAGTACAGTAATGAAAAACAGTGTAACACTACTGTACTGTATTGTAAGCAAAAATTATTATATAAACAAAGTGTTCAGTACAAAAAGGCATGGTGGCACATCCCTGCAATCCTAGTGTACAAGAGGCTGAGGCAAGATGATTGCCATGAATTTGAGGCTAGCCTGGGCTACATATAAGTTCAAGGCCAGCCTAAACTACAGCACGAGTCCCTATCTTAATAAAAAGAAGCTCTACGCAAAAAAAAAAAAAAAAAAAAAAAAAAGATTGGGTCATTAAACGCCAAAAAAAAAAAAAAGGGGGGGGGGGGTCATTAAACGAATACCTATATAAATGAAGTTATACTATATGTAACCTATTTTTGGCTGCTATAAAGCTGCTATGAACAGTTGTACGCATGTTTTTGTGTAGTTATCATTTTTATTTTTGAAGTATTTGAACAAATACATTTTATACTTTTGAAAAATTATACTAGGTCTTAAAAATGGACCTTTTAAAAAATGAAAAAAATTTGTAGTAACCCTTGTATTATTTATTGTCACATAAACTGCTCACAAAACTTGAGTGAGTTAACATAATGTCATTATTGGCTCCAAGTTTCTGTAGGTCAGAAATCCTCTGTTTCAGGGTCTCTCTGACAGGCTGCAGTCTACATGTTGACTGCATTGCAGCATCTCCTGGCTTTACTGGGGAAGGATCTGCTTCTAAGCTTACTCCCATGGTTACTGGCAGGATTCTGTTGTTTTATTAAGTGTTGGAATAGGGACTTGGGTATTTCTTTGGCTGTTGGCTAGAGGCTGCTGTCAGTTCTTTGCCACATGAGGCCCTCTGTGGGGCATCTCATAGTATGAGACTGGAAGAGAAAAGAACTTGGAAAAAGTCATATCCTTGTATAACCTAATCTTGGAAGCAACATATTACTTGTGATATTCAAATCCTTTTTAGAAGCAAGTCACTGAGTCAGGTCCACACTCGAAGGAGAATATGCAAAGGCATAAGTCCCAGAAAGCAGCGATCTTTGACAGCTGTATCTGTTTGCACCCATCCAGGAGATAAGCCTGCATATTGGGTTATATGGGGAATAACTTCAATATACAGAAGTTAAACTTTAATAAGTAACTGTAAGGTAAAAAGAAGTTCTATATACTTCATATAGCTTAGGGAGAGTAAATAAGAAAGGGCAAACTTAAAAATTTCCCTAAGGCAGGGGTTCTCACCTCGTTAGAGAAGGTATAGTTCAGATAGAATTTTCTAGTTGCTCAAGGTTCCAACTCATTCCTGGCAAAGAGAAAGCTATTCTTCAGGCTGCATGTGAGGTATACATCTTTTTTTTTTTTTTTTTTTTTCTTTTTGGTGGCGGGGTACTTGCCACTCAGGATCCTGTATTTGCCAGACAGACACTGCTGCTGAGCTAAATCCCTGGTATTAAGGTTTACATCTTGCATAGGAAATAAGCATCAGTGTAGATGAGGCCTGTGGAATCTGATGAGCTGAAGGAATTCTTCAGGGCACCAATTTCTGTGTAGAGGGAACCATCAGAAATTATTGCTGTGGCAGACTGAGGTCACCAAAGGACCACATGTGCTGGATGCACAGTGCAGAAAGCGCCCCCCTGTATGTTCTTATATCTCCATCACTGAAGCTGGGGAAAACAACATGGAGCCCTTGCTCCATTGCCTTCTACCATGAAAGATTATTTGCTTACCAAAAAGAAAGGAGAGATGTTTTGGTGAATTCTGTCCATTATTGCAGAGTTTAGATTAAAGAATGGATTGGGAATGAGAGGTTATAGATTAATCATCAGCACCAGAGCCATTTTAGAAGCTGCTTGTTATGGCCCTATATCTACTAAAGGAATTGAATTCATTATGGGAACTTTCTCACAAAATACCAGGCCCAGATGGCTTCACAAGTGAACTGTACTAAACATTTAACCTTCCAGGTCATCCCATACATTAAACATTTAATTCAGTTAAACATGTAAGCCAATTTTATGAAAGCTCTTTCAGAAACTAAAGGAAGAAGAAAATTTTCAACTAGTTTTATTAGACCAATTGTACTCTGATGCCAAAGCCAATGACATTACCAAAAGAAAACATAAAAAGTTTCAGGTTAATATCCCCTCTGAATATGGACACAATAATTCTTAAGATCTTATATATGTAAGAATTTTAATATAATGTATATATATACACACACACATAATACATAAAGTCTACATAGAGTTTATCTCAAGATTCAAGGTTGGCTGAGAGTTTGACAAATCAATCTGTGTAACTGATCACTTTAACAGAGCAAAGTTTATATTCTGTTGTAAATTCCCTTAAATTTAAAGAAGCACTATTCTTGCTGGTTTGTTAAACCAGCTAGAGATATTAAATATAGAACAATAAAAACTCAAATACCTTTACATTTTGGGATATTTAAAGAAAAATATTGTTAAACCAAAGTTATTGTTACTAAAGGTATAAAAACAAGTTTCTCAGATACTTTAATTAAAATGCTAAAGTGAAATTTATTTGTTGCTC